ATATCCCACGACTCAGGAGTATGCCTTAGGAATAGGACTAAATCAAATTAGACCTACCTCCACAAGGTCTGAAAGCTTTTACAGTTTCTGGCAACTTAGCTGCCCGGTAGGAGAAAGTGCGATAGTTTTCAGAGGATGAGAACAGAGTCCAGTATCTCTAATGTATTGCGACCACACCCAACATACCACAACAGACAACTAGCATGTGAAGCAGCAGGAAAACGTGACCTATACCATATAACCCAGAAGTTCGAATTAGCACACAGGGACTTAAAAATAACTCTCATAACCATGACAAATAGAACTTACAGGAAAAGACAGATATAATGGCGGGAGATGTAGGAAATTTCTGGAGGACCCATATATAATGGAGACTATAGGGGAGAGGTGGAAACTTGAGGGAGGAGCATGGAAAAGGGCCTTAGAAGATAAGATGTATCAACCCAAAGCATCCTGTGGTTCTTGTTTGGATCGTGATTAAAATTTTAAAAAAAGAGCAATCAGAGATAAATTTGAACACTAACAATTTTTAATATTAGGGAATTATTGTGATTTTTCTAGGTATGATCATAATATTACAGTTATACACATGCAGAGAGAGTCTTCATGTTTTAGGGAAGCATACTTCAATATTACTGATTCAATGGCGGAATGTTTTGCTTTAAAACAATATGGACATTGGGGGAAGGGGCAGACAGCAATGGAAAGCGGACTAATACAGGAAATAAGATTGGCCATATGTAGAGAATTGTTGAGACCAGTAATGGGTATATGAGGATTCTTGTAGTATTCTCTCTATGTTCTTGATTGCTTGAAAAGCCCATAATAAAATGTTAAGGAAGAAAAGGAGGGAGGGGGTGGAGGAGGAAAAGTCCACTCCAGTTCCCAAGCCAGTCCTGGCTGAGCCCACCTCTGCCTGTCAATGGTGAGTTTGGGAACCATTGGGCCACCCCTTCCTAAGCATGCATCAGGTGATCTGCCAGTAATTTAAGCTACTTTTGATTTGCATTTTCCAAACCACGTTTCCCTGTTGAACTTCAGGTGTGGGCTCCAGAGCCCCAAGTAGACCTCCAAGTCTGAGGGTTATCCCCCAAGTCCTAGTTCAGCCCTTCTCTCCCACCCATGATGATTTAGTTCCTGGTACTGTATGTCTGGCCAGTACTTCCTGGCTTCTGGAAAATGGGTCTGGGGACTTCTCTCACCATGTATGAACCCATCTCTCAAAGGACAACTTCCTGAGTTCCCTGCTACCAGGACCTGCCCATCTAGTTGCTTCTCCGAGGTTGGACGATTTCCCTCCACCCCTGTTGACCAACAGGTCAGCCTGAATCTTTTTCTTTATGCTAAACGAGGAGGACTCTTTGCATTTGCAAAGAGTGTCAACAGTCCTGGGCGGCGCTGGCGGAGGGGGGTGCGCACCCAAAAAATGCCAAGAGTGAAACCTCTACCAGGCAAAGCAAACAGTGTCGCCAAGTGCTCCTCAAAGAACTGGAACACACGAGTGGATGATCTTGTGACTGACTCAAGGGCTGGTTGTCTCATCTGTTTGCTATGAAATGTGAGACGCAAAATAACTTTGTCAGGTCCGAACTTGGACCATCAGCAGTTTCCACAGCAGCACGTCCGCAGCAGTGGGACACTTTGCATGGCCCGAAAGGAAATACAGAGCCACATTCTTTAATCTCCCAGAGTCACCTACAAAATTATGCCCCTTCCAAAAGAAAAACTTGGCCCCGCTTAGAAATGACCACTCCGGCTCCACCCACAGCCACGCCCTTCACGGTCCTTTCACACGTAATGAGCACAGCCAGAAAGAGAGCGTCTGTCACGACCACGGTCTCACAGCACAGGAGTTGATAAGCATTGCAGGCAGCTGCGATCTGAGGAGGGTCACTCTTTGGTAGAATCTGCACATTTCTCCGGAGCCCTGTGTGTCAGAATACTGGCACACAACTCATTTCCGCCATTCCTGAGCTTTGTGCAGACGTAGGCAGCCTGACTGCGTAAAGTGAGCCAGCTCCCTTTGCTTGCACGGCATTAGCCTGGGTTGCTGGGTTTAATCTCTTTATAATTCTTTGGCACCAATTCTGACACAGGGCTCTGCTGAGGCTGTTCCCTGACTGGAGCGTGGAGCAGAATTTCCCCTTTTTAGGTCACAAACGCAGAGCGCTCCCTCATCACAGAGACTCTCTCCACCATGTCAATTTTCAACGCCCCTGTGAGTAACATGTTATAAAACCTTGGCAAGGTGGCAAGTATCTTCTGTTGCTCCTGCCATCTGCCATACTTCCCAAGACCGAAACAGGCACGAACTTGCCCCAGCAGTCTTGGATTATAAACACACATCAAAATGCCCTCCTCCACACACAGCTGGGTGAAGAACCCTAGGAGAGATGTTATGAATTGCCCAGGGACTCTCAAAAGGCGCAGACGAGCCAGCATGGAGTGGTCTTTCTATGTCGATTTCTTGGTCAGTGTAGGGCTGTTACCTGTTCTAGTGAAATCACACACTCAGACAGGTAACTTTTGGGGACTTGCCTTTGTCCTTTACTCTGAAAAAGGCTCATTCTTTACCCTCCCCCCACTCCCACCATCGTCGGACCGAGCTGGCTTGGCTCACCACGCCAAACCACCTCCTTGACCCTGCCAGTTGGACCAGGCGTGGATGCCAGCTTCAGCTGGGCCAATCTGATCCTCTCTCTTAATATTTGATAGGGGCCCTAGAAGTCCACTGGTGGCTGCCAGTCACGAGGCAATGGGGAAGGAGGGCCAGACCAGTGCCGGAGAAACCCAGAGCCTCTGGGAGCACCAGGGACAGGACGAGGGCCGGGAGCCCAGCAGAGGGGACTAGTCCACCTCACACCGGAACAAAGCAGGCGGCAGCAGAGAAGCAGGGATGAAGGCTTGCCACAGCCCAGAGCTCCATTTCCTCCACCAATTCCCCCTTTTGAGTGGGTTTCTCTTTCTCATTATAACCAAACATGTCCTGATAGAAAACGCCCTCAAACGTCACCCCAGACTCTGGCCTGTTCTCAGTCCTCATCTTCCTTTGGCATCTGACACTGTCACCCCCACTCTCCTCAAACCTTTGCCCATTTAACGAGGTGCTGCAAAATCCCGTTCTCTTTTTCCTTCTCCAGCTATTCCTGCCCTCCTCCTCAGGGCGTTTAATGAGACAGCATCTGGTCCTCCAGCCCAGTCTTCTCCTTGGAAGATTCCACTGGTTCCCGGGACTTCCTCTGTTGAGTCCAGGCAGGAGGCCCCAGATCCAGACGCGACCCCGGACTCCCACCTGATGGCAGTTTTAACTTTCTGATGCGTATCTCTGCTTAGATGACTCACAGTCACTCAACCTCTTGGAATGGAATGTGCAATCTCCAGCCCTCAAGCCAATCCTTCTCTTGACATTCCCATTTCCTTGGAGAGGAGCTGTTCTTTCAGTCCCATCCCCTGGGACCCTCGTGGTGATCCTGTACCCCATGGGGACTGCTTGCTGAGTACCTGCCTCCCCCAGCCCAGACGGTCCATGAGGGCCCCGGTGACTTGAGTGTGGACCATAACTATGACTTCCCTCCCGGGGTCTGGTATGTGAGGCCACTTAAAAGTCTGCTGACGTGAGTTGAAGGAATGAATGGTTGCCATGTATTTTTCTCTCTGTTTCACTCCTCTTGTCTCTCCAACATGCACTCGCCAAGCTCTCTGCATCTTCCTTCCCAATGTCTCATTCACTGTGCCCTTCCTCTCTGTTCCCTTTGCCTCTGGGCCAGACTCTGATCACTGCCCCAGTCAGAGCTGCTGCAGCAGCAAGCTGGTCTCCCTGGTTGCAATCGAAAACCGACACGTGGGATTCTGGGAAGGTGATGACAGTGGAGTTCTTACATCCTCTCAAATCCCCTCATATAAACAGATGGAGCAACTATATCAAAAGGAAAGAACCTATGCACATTTACAGCAAAATGAATGTGCATGTAAGAAGGCTCCCCCAGAACTTCAACCACCAACAGCCACAAGATCCACCTGGTATCGGTGTCCCTGCAGGAGGAAGTGGAGGGAAGCAACAGGGTTGCTGTCAGCTGGACCCGAGAGCTGGACGGCCCCAAAGAACCAACAGGTATTCACAGGAAGGACACTGGCCCCTGCGGAAGCAGCAGCTAAAACTGGGTGGACTTTTGCCCCCTGTGCACACACATGTGCAGATGTTACACACTAACTAGCGAGGGCTGTACGTGGGATAAAGAATCACAGTCTGTGCATTCCTGTTTCAGGGAGCATGCTGTGAAACAGGACACACGCACTTGCACACACACACACGCTCACTCTGCTGTGTTTAACTGGACCGTAGGACTCTCTCCGGAGCTCAGAGTTCGGCCCCCACTTCATGGTGGCCCAGTGACTCAGTTATAACTGACATCAAGTCAAACCCAGAAACACGCAGTTTTCACTGAGCTCACTCGGCAGCTCCAGCCGGCAGCCACAGCGGCACACCAGGTCTGGAAAGGTACTCTCGAGAGTCCAGAGAAACGCCGGGCAAGCCTGTCCACGTCAACACGGTGGAGGGCTCAAAAATAACTATTTCCCACAAAGTCCTGGTGTAGGAGGGCCTTAGGGGTTCTCTTAAATCATCTTTCCACGGAACCCTATTTACTTGAAAACCTTATTTGCAATGGACAGAACTGTGACGGCGTCCAGACAAGCTGCTCAATTCTTATTTTACAGATGAAGAGACTGAGGTCTAGATCCGTGAGGCCATATTCCCCCCAAAGCAACTTATTAGAAAGAAAAAAAGAGAGTTTAGGTGGTTTAGAAGGCAATCAGATGGTGGGGGAGGGGGGAGAGATTAAGAAGCACAGATGTACCTTTGATTTTCCTTAATACGGGGGTGGGGGAAGGAAAAGAAAGATTGATAGAAATCCATTTATCCCTCCAATCTAAGTAGCCAAGCCAATTTAAAGCCACATGCTGCTCAAGGGAAAAAAGCCATTGATTCGAGACTGACTTACCCGGCAGCCTCTGAGCATGGGGAGCACACAGGGGAAAGGCTCTCTCTTCCTGATGGGACGGCTTTTCAGCACTTCCCTCTGCCCGCAGGCTGTCTTCCCCAGGATCACATGAAAGTGTTCTATAAATGTGCACTGGCTTAAGGTTGGGAACGCTGGCCTGGGAGGCAGCCGCGGGTAAGCAATCTGACCCCGGGCAGGAGGCAGCTTTCCAGAAGGCTCTGCGGCCCGGAGGGAGGACTACAGGGGTGGACAGCCTGCAGGTACCGGGGAGCCTGCAGCTCTGGTTTTCTCACTCTAAGTTTGTTTGGGATCTGAAGCCAGTTTCAACTGCCTTCTGCTGCAGTTTAATTTACTTGAGGCAGTTCCGAATTTTGGCTAGGACCAGCCACTTTTCAAAACAACTCAGCCTTTAAAAAAATTGAAAAAGGCTGTGAAGTTAGAAGTGCTCCTGGTCAAGAGGGACAGGTCCTTGTCAGCTTCTACCAACCTCAGAAAATCAAGTTGTCCCTTATAGAAAACGTCCACAGGCTCCCTTGAGAAGTGGGGAACGAGCAGCTGCTGTTAGGCTGAATCTAAAGGGCAGAGCTGCCTAACGGGCCATCTGTATGTAGCGCTTTAAATGGGTAACCACACAATGGAAAACTTGCAATTGTAGGAAAAGATGTGGAGCTGTTATGGACCAACACTGAAAGCTCTCCACGAGACATCATTAAGTGACAAAGAAATTAGGGTACAGAGCAGTGTGTATAAGATGCTACATTTGTGTAAAGAGAAGGAAGGTTTAAATTTATGAGTGTGTACTACATTATGTCTATTATATTATACATTGTATGATAGGGAAATCCTATGCTCTAAAAATCGTACTATATTATAATACAAAAAGTAATGGCTGGAATTCACGCATGACACTGTGTGACTGTGTGACTGTGGCTGTCTCGAGGGAGGGGTGGGGACTGGGGCACAGGGGAAAAGGAAGATCGTCTCCTCAAATATTTCCTTTCCTTTCTAGAAGTTTCATCTCATGTGAATAGTAATTTTTCAAAAAATATATTTTAAAGGTAATCTAATTTTCACTAGAAATAGTTAATCTCCCAACTTCCTATTCAGAGCATTGAATTCAATTGACCACCACTCCTTTCCTTCACATATTTAACATGTGAGCCGTTTCCCCATGTCATACTGCAAGGCAAAGGGTCACTGGGTCAATTCCTGGTCAGGGCACATACCTGGGTTGCAGGTTCAGTCCCTGGTCAGGGCACATGCAGGACGCAAACCACTTATGTTTCTCTTCCTCTCTTTCTCTCTCCCTTTCCATGTAGCTAGGATAAATAAATAAATAAAATCTTTAAAAAGGTAAAATCTGTGATTGGGTTGGGAAGTCTTCTTAAGATGCCAGAGTTTTGCAATGACTAAAATCCTCTGATAGCACAGGACTGACCCGTGCGTTCTGAGTGAGGGAATGGAGATTTTCTGTCCCGATTCATCTCCTTTCTGGGCGTGGCCTGATCACGGCCTGGTCCCCCGCCCCCCCACCTTCTCCACAGGCCCCACTGTGGCCTGAAGAAGGCATCGCATATAAAACCCTTTAAAAAACAGAAAATCCTGTTGAAGAGCGGAATTGTGCCAGGTCATCACATTTTATAATGTTTTTTTTTTCTTCTGAAGTCCTTGTGTGATTTGACATTCAAATAATGTTAAGTCAAATTTCCCCACAGGAACAGGCATCCAAGTAGAGGGAATACCTGCAGCGGGCCGGTCCCTACAGCCGTATAGGTCTGAGCGCTGTTTTTTACTTTCTCAGCATTACCTCTCACAGGGTGCCCAGTGCCTTCTTCCGAGTAACTCTGGGGCGCATCATGGTGGGCTCCCTGGCCACCGCCATGGTTTTCCGTCTCATCTAACATCTGTTCCCAGTTTATTCAGCCAGAAGCGCAGTTTTAGTCCTCGCATGAGTACCAACGCATAATCCTCGGGTGGAATTGCCTTGAGATATAAAAACCTGTTTACCCTAAAATCGCGGGTCAGAGTTTTAACGCTTATAAACACTGTGGTTCCCACAATCCTGAGCAAAACCGCAGACGTCTGCTTACCAGCTGAAGTGGCGCCACCATGCGGCCGTAGTGTAAGTGCAGTTTTTATCATTCGTCCAGCCAGCTGTAAAAGGAGTCTTGATCAAAACACTAATTAATTAACAAAAGCAAATGTTTTTTTAATTGGGGAGATTTGAAGTGTTTCAGAATTTGCTCGTGTGAAGTTTTATTAATTTTTTATTCCTATTTTCCCAATACAAATTCACATAAATGCGACCTTGCTGAAAATTACTAGCACATGGCAGAGAACACAAAGAAAACAAAACATTTTCCAGGCAATGCTTAGAAGAGATCATTGTTTACAAGTTCTGAGAAGAAAAAAAATACAAAGTAATGTTTAGCATGACAGTAAACAGGTAGATTTATAAAAATCAAAAGATAACGTTCACGGTCCCTATCTCCATACCCAGAAGAAAAAGAAACTCCCATTAATGAAGCTAACAGAAAACACACAAATTTAACTCCTTTCCTTCTAGAGACTTTGTTAAAATGATGGCAAACAGAGACAGGTTTTGCGTTTGTTGGGACAATAACAAAGCAAACTAGGACGGTGCCTCAGTCGACAGAAGGTGGCTCCAGCTTTGTTGGCCGACGGGCAGAGCCTGGAGGAATCCGGGCACAGGAGGCTCCCGCTCCCGCTCCCGCTGTGGGGCGGGGCGGCGGCACAGGGCTGCAGCCCGAACAAGACCCGGTCTTCCCTGCAGCCCCAGGAGCGGCTCTGAAACACCAAGAACGATGGAGGCCGCAGAACTGGGGCTGAAAATTGGAAAGAGGTGGAAGCGGAGCCTGCCCCTTCATCCTGCCCCACCTGCCCCTGATGCCTACCAACCAGACAAGAGCAAGGTCACGTACAAACGCCAAACCTCCATGTATTCCGAAATTAAAAACTCAATAGAAGGTTGAAGGCAAAAAATGAAGTACTTCAAAAAAATAGAATTAAAGTAGAATTAAAATTTAAAATATCAGAGGCTTAGAGAGTTAATCTGTGAGGTCCCACACCATCAATAGGAGACACAGGCAGAGAACAAAAAAGTGGAAGAAACAGTCAAAGAAGTAATAGAAGAATATTCCCCAAAGTTGAGGGGTGTGAATCTTCAGACTGGAAGGGTCCAGTCTGTACCTGGCACAGTCACTCAGACATATCACAGTTCCGAGGGTAGGTTGGGCTCAGCTAGTGGTTGCCAGGGGCTGGAGGGAAGGTTTCAGGGAAGAGGGAGTGACTGGTAGTAGGTAGGGGTCTTTTTTTCCTGGGTGACGAAAATGTTCTAAAATTGATTATGGCTGCAAAACTGCGTGAATAAAATAAAACTATTGACTGGTACACTTCAAACGTGTGAATTTTATGGTATGTGAATTATAACTCAATAATAACAATTTAAAAACTATTTCACTCTGTCTTTCAAAGGTGGGTAAACACAGTTAAATGGTTCTTCACCTTCCTAGTCCTGGAGTTCAAAGTGTGTCCACAGTCAGCAGCATGGTGTTCCCCAGTAGTTAGAAATGGACAATCAGAGTGCCCTTCCCAGACCTACAACAAATTACCTGGTCTCCAATTTATTTCTCCTTTGGTTGCTTATGCTGTTGGTGTCATATCTGAGAAACCACCGCTTAATCCAAGGCCACAAAGATTTATACCTATATTTTCTTCTAAGCGTTTTATAGTGTTAGCTCTTACACTGAGATTTGATCCATTTTGACTTAATTTTTGTATCTGGTATGAGGGCGGGGTCCAACTCCATTCTTTTCCATGTGAAAATCCAACTGTCACAGCACCATTTGTTGCAAAGACTATTCTTTCCCTCATCGCATTGTCTTGGCACCTTTGTAGAAAGTCCATTGACCACAGGTGTATGGGTTCGTGTCTGAACTTGTAATTCTATTCCACAACCTAGATGTCTTTCCCTATGCTAAGGAGGAGGCAGTATCCCAGTCTCAATTACCATAGCTCCATAGTAAGTTTTCAAACAGAAAAGTCTCGCCGACTTTGTCCTTTTTCAAGATTGCTTTGGCTATTCTGGGTACCTCCAGTGCGTTTCCTTATACACTTTAAAAATCAGTTTCATGTGTATCTGGAAGGCAAAGGCAGGTCTCCCAACCATCTTTGTGACCTGCTGCACTTTGCAGGGCGTCTGGGGCATTTTAGCACACATCGAAGTTTGTTGAATTGAATAAAACATTCCAGTCTTTTTTCCCCCTGCAGCTTGGAATAATTTCCACCTAGGAGAATGCCAAGTATTTGTTTCACTTCCAATGCATTGAACTGAAGTAGTAATGACAAAGCAATTCACGGGACCTTGAAGCACTGGATAGCCATGGCTTAAGGGGGTGGAGCCTGGAAGTAGGCGGTTCACTCAGCAGGTCAGCCACTTGCGGTCCCCAGCAGTCTGGTCTTTCCTCGTACTTGTCACCTCATCAGTAGTAGGCACCATCATGCCAGGCACCATGTCCTCCTGACAGCACGTCAAAGGAGGAGGGGTGGGGACAGAGACTCTCCGGAGGCTTGCGTTTCATCCAAGTAGGAAGCGCCCTCACACCTCACTGACAAAAACTGGGTCGCATGCCTACCTCGAGCCCAGTCTCTGGGGACATGATTCACGTAGGCCAACCACACTCCATCCAACGAAGCGGCACCAGAGCATGCGTTTCCTGAAATCCAGGTAAGTAGGGGTAGAACGAGGTATCACTATTCCTCATCGAGGAATAGCGTACATGAGGCAGAAAATGACCTGTTCGTAGGCTTCTGTAGTAACTCAACTTATAATGTTGTTCCAGTGGCAAAATGTGTTGTCAGCACCAAAAAGAACTTTGAGAAAACAACATTTGCAACGCAATTCATACTTTTATTTTTAAAACGATATCGAATATAATCCCACCTGTCTTGGACACTTTCGAAGGTACTTTAGAATCGTTTTAGCTTGAGAGCCAATTATGAGCATAAACTTGTCATGGTGCAGACAGGTAGTATCTAGAAGGGCTGGTTATCGCGGAGGTTAGCAGGTGCTGCGTGCCCAGGCTATGCCAGCCACGGTCGTGCGCGGGGGCGCCCTGCAGTACCTCTGGCGCCGTTGGGAGGCGCCCTAGCGCCTGCGCGCGCCGGGCCCGCCGCGGGCCTCCCGCCCACAGGCGTCGCTGTGCCGCGCCGCGGGCTCCGCGCCGCGTTCCGCGGGGAGCAGGCGCTCGCGCCGAGTAGGGGTTTCAGTTTCTGGCGCGAACTTCCGCTGTTCCGAAGTTGCACGGTGAATTGGCGCGATGTCCGGGGACAGCAGCGGCCGCCGGTCCGAAGGCCGGGGCCGGGGCCGCGACCCGCACCGGGATCGCCCCCGCTCCCGCTCGCGATCTCCGCTGTCGTCCCGCCGCGGCGCAGCGCCCGAGCGCAGGGAGGCCCCTGAGCGCCCGAGCGTGGAGGAGGGAGAGCCGTCGGATTCCGGAGACGAGATGGTGGACCCCGCGACCCTGGAGGTGGAGACCGACCACGGCCTGTGCCGCCAGATTCGCCATCAGTACCGGGCGCTCATCAACTCGGTCCAACGTAAGGCGGGGCGCGGGGCCGGGCGGGGCAGGTGCCAGGCGCAGGCCCTGCGCTGCCCGGCTGGTCAGCGGCGCTGGGGCTCAGCCGCGCCCGGATTGGCTCCCCAAGTGCTCCCACATCGGTCTTGTCTATCGAGCAGCACGACCTTGGCGGGGCCGCACAGGTCCCCGCTGGGCAGGACGAAACCGCTGGAGGCCGGGCGCAGTCAGTCGCTCGCCCGAGCCCAGACGGCCAGAAGCAGGAGAGGTCCGTGCGACTCGTCTTGCAGAGCTGCTCGGTTTCTTGCAGTCGGCGGTTCCCCGGTGTGGTCGCCCGCATAGCAGCGGCAGCGGCAGGGGCACCGAGAGAACTGTCACAAATGCAGATCCAACCAAACTCTGGGAGGGGTGTGCAGGAGGGTGGCCCTCCCTTCTGTTGGGTGGCCTCGAGGGTCTTGCGTGACTTGCAAAGTTTGAGAACCACTGTTAGGAGAGCTCCTCCAAGGCTGCGGCAGAAGTCGAGCCCTTTGGGGGAAGGTTAGAGGGAGCCGGTCTCCTCTTAAAAGTTCCCGTTCTTAAAGGGTAAGGTCTGGACGCGCCATTTTGGTTAAAAAGATGAAGATGTTGGAACTAATTAGCCAGAGAGCAGGGGGCGGGGCTTGGCTTTACTGCCGGTGATCACTTTGTCAACGACTCGTTGGTGAATGATCACATTTCCCAAAGCTTGTATTTTTTTAACATAGAAAACCGGGAAGATATACTGAATGCCAGCGACAAATTAACAGAGGTCCTTGAAGAGGCCAACACTCTGTTTAATGGAGGTAATTCACTCTTTTATATATGAATGATCTTTAGTCATATGTTTTGGGATCATTTTAATTAGTTTTACAGCCTCATTATTGACCTCAGACAATTCCCACATTTATTATAGTGCTTTTCTAGTTCTGGGACCTTCTCTACTGCAGTACTGTTGCAGCAGTATCACATTTATTTTGCACACTCCATTCCTTAAGCATATATATAACTAAGGATTGTACATGATATTCTGGGGGTGGGGCCAGCAGTTTTGAAGTGGTTCTGTTGTTTACATGTATCATCTTCCGTCTTTCAGTTGTATTTCCTGCTGGCCCCAGGATATGTGCAAACACTGGTTGAATGGATGAATGAGAGAGCAGAGCTGGCCTCCGAAGTCCTGTTTCTTTTCCTGTCCTGTCTGCCCTCCCTCATCTCTGTGCTGTTGGTCCATCTATGTAACCCAGTGGGGGCGGCCGTGTCTACAAGTGGACCTGTTAGTCTGCGGTCAGCGGTGTGTGAGAGAGAGAGAGAGACAGAGATCTCCGCACTGAGCTCTAGTCCATGGGCTGAGGGGGTCTTAAAATATCATCAGAGTTTGAACGGAAAGCAGCCGCAGCGTAACAGTAGCAGCAGCATGGTCAGCTGCCGAGGACAGGTCAGGGTACTTCCCGATGTGGGCCCTCAGTCATGGAGCCCTAGGGCCAGTCCCCAGACCGCCTGTCCCTCCAGGCCGGTCAGTGGCAGCTCTGTGGGGCCAGAGGGAGACCGCTGACACTTGCAGAGGTGGAGGGGAGCCAGCAGATCTCGCACTGGCCGGGAACCACAACCCCTCCTGTTCTTCCAGAGCCAGAAGCTTTGTTTGTGGTCATTGCCTAGCGGGGCTGCTGGATTGGTGTTGTCCCCTTTAACAGTTTTCTGCCTCCGTGCTCTCGGAGTGTTATCTTTCTTGCTCTGACTGCACCTCCTCCCCATCTTAGTCTAGTGATTTGCTCAGTCTCCTCGAAACCTTCCAGAGCCAGCCTTTCGCTGTTCACCCAGTCAAATCTCTCCTCCACCCTCTTTAGCTTTTCCTTCTCCCTCCCCAGCCTGGACCCCTAGTCCACAGCTCGAGGTTACTTTGATTTTCCTCGGTATTTTATTGTGCATCCTGTTAGTCCTTGACCCAGAGGTCATTTCCTCCCTTAGCTGACATGTCCCCCGTGCTCGCTGGGTCACCTCTTTAAGGCAAAATAATCCATTGGGCTGGGCCCAGGGAGCTGGTCAGCAAACACAGAATCGTGGATGGGGTTTAACTCCGTAGAGGCCTTAACACCGCCAGGGCAGCGGGTGCTGCGGCTAACGGGGAAGGGAGGCCAGGCACCTTCTAGGAATGAGCCTCTCTGGCTTCTTGCTCACTGTCACTTTCACAGTAACTCCTGAAATCCAGCTGCAGGGGAACATGACTTAGAAAAACAAAAAACTGGAGGCAGCAAGTTCACCAGCTTGAGGAATGTCCCAGAAGGAAATCGATGATTCACCTGCAGTGGCCTCAGGGAGCAAGCCAGGCTTAGATGTTTCTGTGTTTGGACTCCGCTGTGCTTCTCTCCTCTTGGCTGCCTTTTCGGGCGCCTTTCTGGTGTTTCCAGAGCACCTTTTCCCACTCCCTGTTCCCTGTGGGGTCCAGTGAACCCAGCCCCTGAGCCCTGCTGGTCCCTTTGGTGGAGTTTCCCTGCCTGTTCCCTTCTTGTGTCCTTTTATTGATACTTAAATCTCTTCTCCCTGTAGCTCATCTTCAGTCCTATGTCCTCTGTCAAATCCTTTTGGATCACCCATCCTCAGAGGGTCTGCCTTGCTGCCTCTAGGGTGGTGCCTGGGAGCCACGTGGAGGCGTGAATCTCCTGCTGGCTGCCCGGCCCGGGACATTATTCCAGCCGAGGCTCCTTGACAACTTACCGATTGCTGGTCTACGAAAGCATAGTGCGTGTTCAACTTGACTTACACCGGCCCATGTGATCAGAGTGACTAAGCTGGGTTATTGGCGTCAAGGGAAAAGCCATGTGATAGAGATGATAATGGGATTTTTTGTTTTGTTTTGTTTTAACCCTGGTTATTAAGAGGTTCACTTCTAAGGGGTAGGAAAAGAGACAGAGCTGGCTTTTATGAAGACTGGTCAGCTTGGATTCCAGATTTTGGTGACTTGGGCAGGGGAGCCAGTTTTTAGAGTGAGATGCCTGTGTTGGGACTTTTTTCCTGTCCAGTGGGAAATGCTGAGTTAGTGGTTGGAAATGTAAGGGAAGTGCCTGTGGTTAATGTGAGTGTTGTAATGTGTGTATTTTTCTTCTCTTTTGAATAGTGTCCCGAGCAAGAGAAGCCGTCCTGGATGCCCACTTTCTTGTTTTGGCTTCTGATTTGGGCAAAGAGAAAGCCAAACAGCTGCGTTCTGACCTGAGCTCATTCGATATGTTAAGATATGTTGAGACTCTAGTAAGTTCAAAGCTGTAGAATCTTAATAAAAAAATGTATTCACCTGTATGACTATCAACTTTGCTTATATCCATATGCAGATAGCTTTCACTTCATTTTTACTCTCTGCGGGGCTCAGATCCCTTCGCAGAGACTTTACCGAACTAAATAGATGGCAGAGGAGCTGTCTGGTGGCGCCTGGGCCGGGAGCCCAGAGCAGTTTGAAAATTACTAGCATTCTACGACTCCGGGTACTGCGTTTATGTAGACATGGCCGAATTCCTTTCCCCTCGACCACCTGTCAGTTCACCAGGTGTTCTAGTTTATCCTTAGTGACCTGGGACCTTTGACCAGGGCTCTGCTGAGGCCGCACTGCAAGTGGCAGGCTCAGCTGGAATGAGCCGGGGCTGGTCGGTGGGTAGGTTTAGTCTGCCCGGGAGGCTATCTTGGAACCACATGTGTATGTGGGAGCCCTGCTTTTGTGCGGTTTTTGGTTTTTGCTCTTGTTTTAGTTACCTTTCTTTGCTTCTTAATAAGCTTGTGTGCTTGTTACCTGAAATTTTGAAACTTTTCCATGATGGATTTACCCCAAAAGCACAGTGAGACCGACCTTTTATCTTACTCCGTTGTCTGTTTTTATTATTATTATTATTCTACTCTGAGCCTAGCAGTCCGCTGGGACATAGACTGGGTGCGTTAAATAGTTACCAAGATGATTTAGTGCCGTGTGTGCTGGCCAGATAAATTAATTATTTTGTAGAGGAAAGAGGTATTTCTTGTTTTGTAAGCCTTAATTTTTTTTAAGTTTAAATTTAACTTACCTAAACTTTAAACCTTACGTTTTTCTTTTTTAAAAAAAACTTTTATTTTGAAGTATAATGCATTTTTTTAAAGGCATACTAATGTACAGCTCAATAAAGTGACCCAGTATCAGGCTCCCTTTTTTTTTTAATTACCGTTATTTATCAGGATAAGCTCTGTCCTTTATCAGAGCTTATTTGTTCACCTATCAGAATAAGTTCCAGAAGTCTTAAAGCATCCCCTAAAAACCCTGAATCAGCCGCTGCCCAGTGTCCGTGTGGGGAGGGCCTTTCCGAGTACAACACTAAACAGGCGATAAAGCGGAGATGGGTAGATTTGGCCAGACTAGAGCTGGAACGTCCTCCTCCAAGTGCTCGGTGGTGGGTGGGCGGGCGGCGGGACGTGCCGGCGGGCTGACCACAGCTCTCTGGCCGGGTTCTTCTGGCGGCCTCTTGTTTTTCTTGAAAGTTGGGTTGCCTTTAATAGGGTGAAGCTCCCTCGGGGCTTTTTGATTATCGTTTCTGTGTGATACTACCATTTTAATTTGATAACGTCTGGCCATTTTAGAATTTTATAATGTAATAAACATGTACTTTCCTAAAAGCAAATTTAATATGGTACATTTTCTGTGAGATAGCTTGAGATAGGAGAATTATTAGATTTCTGCCAGCGCTTCCCAGGAAGGCAATTTCCCAGTGAGCAGCGCTCTCCCTGGCATTGGGCCCCTGTTCCCTGGACGTGCGGAGACATGAAATGAAATGAAAATACGAACGCCAGCTCAACTTCCCCGTCCCTTCCTGGAGCTTTTGTTTGGGATGCGATGTCCTATTTTCATGCTAGTACAGCTTTACTAATATTTTACAAATGAACTCCTTGTGACCCAGAAATTCCCAGCAGGATTGGTTCTTTTGCCATCCCAAACCCTACAGCCTGCAGCGGGCCGGGGCAGGGTTCCTCAGCCTGGGCACTGGGGACATTTGGGGCTGAGCCAGTCTCTGGTGTGGGGGCCTGTACCACGCATTGGAGGATGCTGAGCAGCATCCTGGCCTCTGCCCACTAGATGCTGGGAGCACCTCCATATCCAGCGGTGACAGCCAAAAATGTCTCCCGGTAATGCCAAGAGACCCTGAAGGCACACGCTCGCCCTGGTGGAGAGCCGTGGGTCTGCACCACCTCACTTCCTCCCCAGAGGTTCTGAGTGCGTTGACGAGTAGCTTTTGCCAATAGAAGGTACCTCTGGAAATAGGAATTTATCAATTTAATTATCTTTATAATAAGAACTTGAGCCAACTTGTTTGGGCACTGAAACAGACTCGGCCTTTGGCCTCTTAAAGTGTAGAGATGCAGGTTATTGGACATGGGGAGTGACTGCTTGTGGCTTAACTGGGGTTTTCTGTTCTCCTTCATTTTTGTAGCTGACACATATGGGTGTAAATCCGCTAGAAGCTGAAGATCTCGTCCGTGACGAAGATAGTTCTGATTTTGAATTCATAGTCTATGACTCCTGGAAAATATCAGGCAAAACAGCAGAGAACACCTTTAATAAAACCCATACATTCCACTTTCTGTAAGATTATGTTAAAGATCTGACAGACCCGTCATGTGTAACCCTTAAATTGTTTTTTATTGTAGAGACCAAAGTGATTTGATGTTGTAGAGGTGACCGTCACGATGCCATTGTTCAGAGACTTTATAAACTTGGATTTAAATGCCCATACCGTCTTGAGGTGGATGGAACTCCATCCTGTTTAACCTCAGCAGGAAAGACTGTGGGCCAGAACCTCCTCCCCGGGCTGCGGGGAGGCTTTGGGTCTGCGGCTGACCCTGGCTTTGTTTTAGCATCATTCAGATCCTGAGAGTGGAGGAGGGTAGTACCGCCTGTGAGGGTATCTTAAGCTTCTAATGATGTGTGTAAAGTGCCATTTGTTATGTTTCCCTGTTGGATGATTACGGGCCCTCATTTGAAGACTGCTTGAGTCACTATGTAAACTTCCCAGTTCATTTTTAGATGCAGTTCTGATTTTGAAAAGATTTTCTTTATGCCCAAATGAAATGCATTTCTGTCTTAATTTCCTAGCCCAGTCCTCGGGAGAAGCTAAGCACAGCTCTGAACAGTTCTTTGGGGAGGCAGGCGTTCAGACGCGTGGATCTCGTTCCCCAGGAGATGCCTTTCTAGGGTCGCCACCATAGAGAAGAACCATGTCGGTTCTTAAGTGGTATAGCTCCTGGGCATCTGTCTGTTCTGATCCACACCCTTCATGGTCTCTCCGGGGTGGTGGTATCTCCGTTTAGAAGGCTTTGGAGATGCCTGTGTCTGCGTAGTGGGGACAGGCACTTGTCTCCAACAGGCCTTCGGGTAACTCAGGTGCCCCGGGCCATTTTGTATGTTGCAGCACACAGATCAAACCTCTTTGCTGGATAAAACCTCAGTCTTGGTTTGTGCTGCTGAGCTCTGGGCCCTGTCATCAATCCCAGGATGTAGGGCTAGCCTTTTGTGGCGTGACGTCCACTTGATTCATCCAGCCCACCTTCCCGCTGCCATGAACTGCTCACGGCTTTGCACCTGGCACTTGTGGTTCCCTTGGCCTGCAGTGTCCTTTCTCCCTTCTTTCCAACTGGTGTGGTTCGTGCATCCCACAGACCCCAGCATGGAAGCCTCCAGTAGCCACCAGAACTGTCAGTGTAGGGTCCCATTTCCCAGCCAGGTTGCTCCCGCATTGTCTGGGTAGCTGGCCCTGCCCACAGCAGCCGGAGCACCTGGGTAACACCCAGCACAGCACTGGAGAATCTGTCTCATTCTGCTGAAGTCTGTGTAGACTGTATTTTGACTACATGAGTACTTGGAGCTTTTCAAGTGTAGGGACCACGTGGGTCTAAATTCTTGGGGCCTTGGCTCCACACGATGCTTCTGTTGCCGTAGCTTCAGTCTGCCCTAGGGCTTTTTGCAGGAGGTAGAGGGAGTCCAAATGGGAAAGGGATCGCAGGGCCTCCCCTTGCCCTGTTCTAAGACCAGTGTGTTCTGTCGTCCTGGGTTGGGAGCCTGCACCCTGGCTCACCTTGTCCAGAGGCTTTTAACTCCGGAAGGATGATATGCATTCCCCTCCCCATGTGTTCATCCTTCCCTTGGCTTTGCAAATTAGAGGGCAGGCCAGCTGGGCTACCAGAGGCCTATTCCTGGGATTACTGCTCAGGGCAAATAGGCAGGTGTTGGAGGAGGTGTCCAAGGCTGAGCAGAGCGCCTGCGAGCTTGTTTTAGAAACACGCAGGGAGCAAAAAGGGTGTCGCAGTCCTGATAGGAGTCTTGGTCTGGTGTCAGCTCGTAAATCGCTGGCGATGCCTGGTCTGGATTTGACTGTCCCACGGAACTGCTTTCGGTTAGTGAAATTAGTCTGTTTAGAAAACGTACGAGAAAAGACATGAAAGCGTGTTTCTCACTAGGTTGGGTTCGATACAAGGAGAGCGCCCTGTGCCAAAGCCACGGGCGGAACGTCCCCGACGAGTGTGCACGGCAGAGAAGGAGAAGGACATGCCTGAGCAGGTGAGTTTTTTTTTAACTCACGTTGTAAAAACACCTCAAATGAAAATGGCCATTACTATAATGTACGTGCAAATTTGGCCATCTTTTCTAAGTTTAGGGTTCAAGAGTCACTTACTCATTTTATGTGAGTCTTTAGACGTTCTGTCGGGTTGACCTCTAGTCTTAGTTTGAACTCACTTCTGTGCTTTGGATCAGTTCTGAACCAGCTTTCGGGGGTGGTCCCCTGTGTGGACCGTCTGTCTGATGTGCTGTAGGGTGTTTAGCAGCGTCCTTGGCCCTTTCCCACCAGGTGCCAACAGCACCCCACCCCAGTTTTGACAACCAAACACACCCCGGGGGCAAAATCACCGGGAGCCGAGAACTACTGTTGTAAAGTACCCTTTTGTATTCTTGTGTTTTATGTTCAACCGCAAAATGGTTGTTCGGTAATGTTTCTCTGCTATTAAAAAAATTAATGTACAAATGTTACAGAACATTTTTCTTTTAACTCTTAAGTTTTAAGATGAAGATAAACGCCGCTGGCAATCCCCAGTAAAAGACATTTAGGGGTTTGGATGTGTAAGAGAGCAGGAGAGGGCAACAGGCAGGCAAGGGGTCGGTCAGCGCGATGATGACTTTATATTTTCAGTTAAAAAGAATGGAAGAATCTCATCAAGAAGCAACAGAAAAAGAAGTAGAAAGGATCTTAGGGTTGTTGCAGACATATTTCCGAGAAGATCGTAAGTATGATACCAAGTTTAAAATGGGGCAGTTTGTATTCGTTTGGCGTGTGTTAGCTGCAGTGAGAAGCTATTAGTATTTTTATTCAAAAGAGATTTTCAACTATATGTAATATTTGCATCATTTTGATTCTTTTGGCGTATATATTTAATGAGGCTTCCCAGAAGTTCCATGTGAGGATGTTGGTGAAGTAACTTTTTTATTTTTAAACAGTGGGGTGTTGTTTTCTGTTAAAAAATAAAACGTGACATAGTGAGAAGAGTAAAGAACACCTGTTCCACGTCTCCTCACTCCCCAGAGGGGCCACCTGGAAAGCATGATAGGTGTCTTTTCAGATTATCTTACGTTTATGTCAGTCATATAAATATGCACATAAGTAGTTAGAATTTTTTTTGATTTTGCATTTTTCAAAGTTCATTATAATATACACGTTCTTTGGCAGCATGACTTTTGCATGTTTTCCACGTGGTTCTTTTCCATGATCCCTATTATATGGCTGTATCATAAATACATGTATCAGTTTCTCTGTTAGTGGACAAGTAAGCTCTTCCCAGCATTCTACTTGTGTACAAACTGCGGAAGTGAAGAATCTTGGTGTGACTCTGTGCACCCGTGCTAATATTTCTATAGGGCGGCTTCATAGAGGGGATGGGTAGGTCCCGGGGGCCTACCTGTTTTTTTAAAGATTTTACTTATTTATTTTTAGAGAGCGAGAAAGGGAGAAAAACAATGGTGTTCGAGAGTAACGTTAATCAGTTGCCTCTCACACGCCCCCAACCTGCAAGCTGGCCTGCAACCCTGACTGGGAGTTGAACTGGCGACCTTTCACTTGGCAGGATGACTCCCCACCCACTGAACCGCACGGTCGGGGCCACACGTGTGTTTAATAGATTCGCCAAGTTGCCCTCTGGAAGGGTTGTGTCGATTTACACCTCACAACAGGATGAGTGCCCATGTCCTTCCTCTGGCTAACACTACACAGCCTTGGTCTTATGGATAAAAAAAAAAGGCCTTTTCCTGTCTTGAAGAATTTTTTTCCTTTTTTGTCTGTAGCTAATACTCCTATGTCCTTCTTTGACTTCGTGATTGACCCGCACTCTTTCCCCCGCACGGTGGAAAACATCTTTCATGTTTCCTTCATTGTGAGGGTAAGATTTATTCCTATGATTGCTTTTATGTGCTTTTTAAAAGGTAATAATGAAAGCCATTGAGGGGAGCTGGCAAAGGTATTTGTGCTAACCGCTATGCATTTGGACATTGTAGCTAAATCCTAACTGACCTGGAGGCAGAAGAAACCAGCTAAAACAAAAACAATGAAAAATTTGTGTGCTTGCTCTCCCGTTTTGAAACTATTTATTGAGAGAATTGGCAAAATTGCAATATGGAACTATAGAGGTTAGATAACACTCTGGTATAAATGTTAAATTTCCCAAATTTGATAGTTGACATGATATATAAGAGAATATCCTTGTTCTCGAGAAGTATACACCGAAGTACCAGGGGAAAGGGTCAGGTTGTCCATTACTGACTCTCATAAAAATTACTAATATTTGGGGGTGGGCAAAAGCAGGTTTACAGTTGTGAGTACATGAAACAGTTTATTCTTGTATTTATTGTATTTGTTTTCATATGAACAGCTGTAAACCTACTTTTGCCCACCCGTGTATATACAGAGAGAATGAAAAATGTGGCTTGGGGAAGTTGAGTAAAGGATATATAGGTGTTTTTCAAGTTTGAGATTATTTCAAAATTGGCCCCAAAAATATAGTATGGCTTTAGACTGTCTTTAGTCTTACCAGGTTGCTTTCTTGCACATGTAAGATGAATATGACCTTAACCCAACATAGAAATCTCACACTGACCAAAGTGTTTTCCCAGCAATGATAACAGAGGCCTATTTTGTCAGGGGTAAAAGATAGCATTATGCATACTAAAATGTAAGTATTCACAACCGTGTGTATATCAGCTAAAGAGGCAAGACGGTTTTGTGGAAGAGACCCTCAGGGCGGAGGCGGGGTCTGGGGGACGGAGCAGGCGAGGACCTGAGGCGAGAACCGGAGGGACAGGCAGGTAAACCAGATGTTGGGGGCTTGTCACGTGATCGCCCCGCTGCTGTCAAGTTCTCGTCATCTGAGATGCAGCACTGACTGAGCAGTGTCTTTATCCAGTGGCATAGGTTTTAGATCTAAATTTTAGTTCTCTAAAACCGTTTTTTTGTATGTGTTTTAGGATGGTTTTGCAAGAATAAAACTTGACCAAGACCGACTGCCAATAATAGGTAAGTGATCCTATGTTCAGAAAAATTCGTTTTAGAGAAAATATATTTGTTACTGGAGTTTATGAACTGTGTTTTACTAAATGTAAAGGTTTTCATTTAGGTAACTTTTATAATGCCGTATCTTGCTCAACTAACCGAAAATGTGGTCATAGTTTAAAACAGAGGGACTTATCTACATTTATTCAACATCTGCTGCCGTCAAGATTAACAAGAAATGATGCAATTTCCCTCAAATTTTAATATAGAAAGTTTGTAATTGCAGTTATTTTTGTAGCTTCCTTCTTTCTATTTTTTCCTTGAAGCCAGCTTCCACTTTCCCTGAGAGAATCTTTAATTCTTAGTTAAATAATTTCACTCTCCATTATGCTTCTCCTGGTAAGGTCTCTTGTAGAGAACAAAACACTTCTATTACATTTGCATGTTACGCAATTTCATGTTGGGCTCACCAGGGCTGAGCCTGCGCGTTGGGGTGTAGATGTGCAGGGGTCGGCAGGTGAGAGGAATGTGTTTCTGCACTAGATTTTCTAATGGAAGCAGGCGGATTACTTGCTACTGTGATAATAATACAACTCGATGCATGATGTCCTGAGTATGTACTATTATAATTATCGTCTCGGTACAGGTTTTATCCCTATGATTCATCTTTGCTGTTTTGCTTGTTCCTGATTTGATAACCTTTGAAAACGTTTGTCCTTCAAACAGAACCTGTTAATATTAGTGAAGAAAATGAGGCCATTGATCAAAACACCCAGATCAGGAATCAAGGAATCATAGCTTTGAGTTATCACGACTGGAAGGTAAAGCCCCGCACGCTGCCCCCGGGATGTTCTGCCTCCGACCTCCTGTGCCGTAAACCCGGTGCCCATGTGTCCTTTGTTCTCTGCCAGGAGATTGTGAAGACCTTTGAGATCTCGGAGCCTGTGATCATCCCAAGCCAGAGCCAGCAGAGGCCGAGCACTTGATGGCCACCGAAGGTAACACTTCCTATGGGACAAGGGCAAGTTTTCATTCCACTGCACGTGGCATGCCAGACCGTCCTGTGTTGTCACGTTCTGGTGGAATTTGGATTTTTCCCCCTTCAGTGCCCCATTCTTAGAACTGCATGCTGGTGACGAGGGCTGAGTGGGACCGAGTGGTTGCCGGCTCCCTTCTTGGGTTTGTTACGTTGGTGGTCTTCAGACGTGTGGCTGACAGAGGCAGAGCAGGAGTCCGTCCCTGGCTTGGCTTTTGCAGCCCCTGACAGAACAGACCGATGAGGACGATGAGGGGAATATTGAGTCCTCCCATCAGTTTTGCTCAGCGTCCCCTGAGCTCTGCGTGTTTTGTAGAAACAAAGCAGAAACAGAGGATTATCTTGAAGTGCAGTCAGTGAATGACCATTTCTTAAATTTGAGTTATTCTGTGAAAAGATTCTTCATTTTTATGAAGGAGAGCCTTGCTAGAAGGAAGCCAGAGCCATGGCTGGGCGTTCTGTGCTGCCAGTGGCCGTGGGCAGGAATCAGACCTGGATTCTGCTGGCTCTGCCCCTTTAAAACCTCAGGCAAGCCACTTACTCTCACCCAGCTTCCTCTTCCCTGTCTATGAATCTGTCGATAGATTGGGGAGGAATTTTGAATTAGATAACTGCTAAGGTTATTTTTTCTAGTTCAGATTTTTTATGATTTTGAGAGGTAAAATTAGCTTTTTACTCCTTACTATAAACTCTTTGTAGTGCCTCAAATAACAGAGCTGCTTTTGTTCTGGGACAAGAGTGGGGGCGGGAGGGCAGGTTGACGGCAGATAACACAGGGTCGGGCGAAAGTAGGCCTGTAGTTGTTCGTATGGGAGGTAGCGCAGCGATTGATAAATAGCAGCACGAGAACAGACCCTGTCTCAAGTACTCACAGCTGTAGACTACATTCGCCCCACCCTGTATAATGGGTCAACATGGGCCTTAGTCACTGAGGAGGGGCTGGCTGTTAGATTTCGTTTATGCAGATTAAATCAATTTTTGATTTATAAACTGTTAACTGGCTATTTTCGCCCTCTTTTTAGGATTCAAGTGGATAGTGACATCCAAAAAGGAGAGCAGCATGTATTGTATATATTGTATGATTGAACATTTTTAAAGACAGATTGTTTTTAGTAAAATGTAGCTTTTGATAGTTGATGAATTTGTCATGGTTGTCTTTGATTAAAGGATATACACTGCCATATTCACAAATAATTGTCGTTACTCCTTATTTCCTGTTATCGGGAGAGTGTCTTCCACCCCCCAGCCCTGACTCACTGGAAGTTTTAGATGGGTTGTCCATGGTCCTTAGATCTTTATGGTTCTCGTTACATCTCTTTAGCCGTCAAGTTATCTAGTCAAGTCAACACACATTAAGTTGTACCGCATAAAATGGTTTTTGTAGCTAAAATGTGGCCGAGCATCCGCAATGTCCTAAGAATCGGCCTGTGATTTACACACAAGCGGCTCTTTGGACCTCGGCCAGGCCGACCGGACTGCTTTCCCCAGCAGGGCTGGCCCGGGATCCGTCTCACCGGCCGTCTCACCGGCCGCCTGTCCTCTCAGTGCCCGAGGCTGCTGGCCGCACGGAGGAAAACCACGGGGCGGGGTGGGCTGGTGCTCCGCCCGTGCGTCTAATCTCTGCTGGGCCTTCAGGGCCGTCCTTGGTGCTCTCCGAGTCCCTGGTTGGTTCCTCGTCCATTCCCCAGCTTTTCACATCTACCCTTGCCCCCCCCCTTCCCCCTAGTGTCAGACGTGGGGGTGTCTCTTCTGTGGATAGCTCCGAATTCTAGCTCCTCCTGCACCCGCAGGGGTCCGCTGTGCCTGTCACACCTGCTTTTCCTCAACCCTGCTTGTCTCTCCTAAAAAATTGTCGTGACCCCCTAAGTGACTGCCCTATCGCCTCTAAATAAGAACCACTTGGGAAAGTAGTCCATTCCCTCCATTCTACTGAGGCTCTTTCACGCCAGATTCATGGCGATTCCTTTCCAAATTGTAAAATCCAGTGGGTAAGTGCTGCGCATTTGACACTTGAAAATGTGCTTCTCGAACGCTACCTCCTCGTGTCTGATTCTTTCCCTGGTTTTCCCTCCACCGTCTTTCTCTCAGGATCTGTGCCCCATCTGTGTCCCGATCATCCCGGAACTTGGACGAACCTTCTCTAAAAAGCTGCATGTGATACCTGATACCAGTGGCTTGTTCCACAGCACGTGGGCTGTTTGGAACATACATGAAACAGCCCTTGGGACTTTTCTCTGGGCCATCCCTGTACTGCTGCTTTGACTACTTTATTTCCTTAGAAAGCAAGCTGTGAGTTCTTTTCTTTCTCACCCTCTCCCCGCCCCCCACCGCAATCCTGACTTTTACTGGTCATAATTCTCCTCTGGTCTCTCGAATCTCCACCTTGCCCATCGTTCTGCCACAGACTCCCATCTGGTGTTCCCTGCTTCTTGTCTGTCCTTCAGATTTCTTCCGCTTCCTTAAGACCGCATGTCAGTTTCTCAGTGACTCCCCACTGCCTTCGAGATTGAAAACACGTGGGCCCTTCAGTGAGCTCCGAGCCCTGCCGATCCGGCCCTTCCCCTACGTTTCTGGGCTCCCTTCGTCCTGAAAACTCTGGCCATCTCTTTCATTTCTGTTCAACAGCCTTGTTGAGATATAACTCAAACACCCTACACTTCACCCTACGATTTAAAGTGTATTTTATTATTTGTTAGTCTACTCACAGCGTTGTGAATCACCACAGTGTTAGAACATTCTGGTTCACCTGACCCCTGCCCTTTGGCAGCCGCTCAGCCTCCCTCACCTACCCCCTGACCCCTCAACCCTAACCAACGCTAACCTACTTCTGTCTGGAAACATGCCTATTCTAGCTCCCAGAATTGCCTGTTCTGGGCATTTCACAGACATGGAATCACACGTGTAGGCTTAACGTTATAATTTCCCAAGCCATGTGTGTTCGATGTTGCCTTTCTCCTTCCCTTCATTCACTTACTTTCTGCTTGTTTCAAACCTTCTTCACGGAGGAAACTTGAGTGGTTACTTTTTTCAAACCAAGGGGGAAAAGCTGCTTTGCATTTCATACCTTTCGGTAACTACTGAGTATCTAACCATGTACTTTTTCACTGCTTTAAAAAATTATCAACAGAAGTTATGTAGACTTCTGACTTGGGGAAAAAAACTAACTCATGGATGTTTTCTTTTACAAACCAAACTCCTATCCTATCCCCAAAGCCTTTCTTCTCCCCCAGAACCCGGTGCTGGAGTAGCACCTCCTTCTTACCTCTGTCATCTTGTTTGCGCTCCTCACCTGCTTATTTGCACGTCACTTCCTGAGGAGGCCCCCGGGGCCAGGGCTGGGCCTTACTCTGTGCTGGTGGCCCTGGCTGGAGGCAGGCAGCAGTGCCAGACACAGATGCTCCGCCTCCCTGAGGCGTTACCATCCAAGGGGCGTTCTCGGGCTCCACGTACGTACGTGCCCCTGAATTGCCACCCTACTCCCCGGCCCACGTTCTCACAGTAGAGCTTTTGGTGCCCCAGACTTGGACATGTTCTGCTCTGTTTCTCCTATTGCGTGACAGGCTTTTCAGAATTTTGGACTGGTAGATTAAAGGATGGCTGCCAACTGTTTTGAGAGGAAGAGTCTGTTTCCTCTCCCCTTGAACTTGGGCTGGGCTTGGTGACTTGTTGGAGCAACAGAAGGCGGCCGAAGTGCTGTACTGGGATTTCTGAGGCTGGGTCGTAAGGGGCCTCTAGTGCCCGACAGGCCTGGCAGAGCCCGCGTCACTGTGTAAGAAGTTCAGCTGCCACGTGGCCCTGGAACGACCTGGGGAGGGGAGGACGGGAGCGGGCTCAGCCCAGCTAAGCCCAGCCTCTGAGCTGTTCTTGCCCAGGGCATATAGGGGCAGCAGTCTGGGCCCCTCCAGATCAGCCCAGCCATCTGGGTGTCCCCAAGTTGCTCTAGGGGGGCACGGGGGGCAGAAACGTGCCCAGCTGAGCTCTCCTGAGTTCTCCATAGGGAACTGTGAGGTGCAACAAAACGGTGGTTCTCAGTCAGCAGTTTTATCGTTCAGTGTTTTCTCTCCCCGGTTCGAGGCACTTAGGAACAAAACGCGGGTGTGGGGTTTTACTGCACTAGTGACTATGAAAGTAAGCTAGCCTCAAAGAGAAATAACGATAATCTAGAAAATAACTTTATTATTTTCTAGTTGGCTTTTCAGAAATGGTGGTATGTTCAGGAGCTGCCTTGGAAGTGGATTTTTGACCTTGCCCTCTTCTCTTGACTTTTCCCTCAGAACAGTCACTTGGATAGGTGCGTCGTCTTGAGGCTGGGCCAGGGGGTAGGCTGTGACCCACTCAAACTCTCTCACTTCCTCTGCCCTCGCCCGAGGTCTCGGGAGGGGAGGAGCCGGGGCGGCCGGGCTCAGAGCACTTTGGTTGTTGCTCTTCTCAGCCAGCTCCCGCCCCCGAACCATGCGATCCTGATGTCTCTTCATCTGCTCCTGCGCCCAGGCCACGCGCTGCCTCGGGGTGTTGGCTTTGGGCGTCCTCTGGCTGTTTCCAGTGCGCTCGCTCTTCTGCAGGGGGCATGCTTTTGGGGGAGCCGTTTCTCTGGGGACCCTTCCGGGAAGTGTCGGATACTTGTCCGTTCTGAGCTGTCTCGCTTTTTGTGTTCGGTGGATGTGCTTCTTTATGTGGTTCAGCTCCCTCTCGGGCACCAGATAGTCCCAGGTTTTAGCATCTTCTATTTTCTCACTTTGTGGTTTCTCTTTCTCTTCCTCTTCTTCTACCTCAATTTCCCATTTTGGAAACATTTCGTATTTCCATAAGTCTTCCATCACTTCCTGGTATCGTTGCCCGTAGTATTCCTCTGCTTTGGCAAACCAGAAGTCAAAAGACAGGGCCTTCAGTTTACGAAGTGTATTACTCTCCTGTGGAAACTTGGACCGACAGTTTCCTCACTTGTCTAGAACGGACACCACCTCGGTGCTTGTCGGGGGCGGGGTGTGGGAACGTTGTGAACCTGCACCGTCCTGTGCTGCAGCCGTGGCACAGATCTCACGTGGCTGTCAGCCCTGCCTGGCACTGCTGCCCAGGCCCCCGTTCAGGGCTCTCCCCTGCACCGCCCTCCGCAGCATGCCCTCCTAGGTGAAGACTTGTCCCCCCTGTGCCTTACGGTCCCTCGGGAGACAGAAGCAGTAACTCAGGAGCGCCCTCCTGGTCCCCGTTAGAACCACCACAGCGCCTCTATCCCAGACTCCACCTTCCTGCCTCTGTAACGGGAACCCTGCCCCTTTATCAAAAGCCAGTTCTTCCATCTGTGCTCACTGGGCTTCAGGAGCTTCCTTTGCAATGACCAGATCCCCTTTCCTGCTTCGTCAGAATTCCCCAGCTACTGGATCGCTCCATTAGCATAAAAATTCTGCTTCAGCGCACACTGGCTTCAAACAAGAAGAAACTTCCGTTACCGCACATTCCTCTCCAGCTGCGGCTGCCCTGTCTCCCCCCTTCACCCTGTAACGAAGCGCTTACCCACAGCCCCTCTTTACGTTCTCCCCTCAAATTTTCCCCTTAATCCTCTTCAACTGGGTTTCCACCCCCACCCTGTCTTCGAGACAGCTCTTAGCTGGGTCACAGGTGATCATGACATTGATGAATTCAGTGTGCCCACCTCCGTCCCTGCCACACTTGACCTCTCATGGCATTGTGTCCTCTTTGAAATACTTGTCCATCCTACGGACAAGGGCAGGTGATGGAGGCTCTCTTGGACCCCTAGACTATTCCAGCCATTACCTGAATGTCCCCGGGTGACTGGCCCCTAATTCCCTTCCCACTTTATGGCCACCTCCTCACTTACTTTGCTGGTTCTGGCTTTTAAATGTAATGCAGGAAAGTATAGCAGAGAAATTGTCACTTAAGATAGAGCACAGTCACATTTGTCCTCTGTGGACACAGACAGTCTCGATCATTCCACCAGGTGACCTGCCGCGTGTCAGGCTCTGCTCCCGAGAGCGGGAAAGGAAGGACTGAGGCAGTCGGGCGCACCAGGCTGCCCTGCACTTGGCCTGGCCTCAGACCCAGACGCTGTTTGCTCGTCCTCCTCAGTTTCCCCTTCTTGGTCCCATCACTTCAAACTTCAAAACGCACCCGCCCTGGAGCAGCAGCCTCACTGGCCTCCCCGAATCCGCCCTTCTGCCCCTCTGTCCCGAGTCCCCTCAGACCTGTCACATGGCAGCCAGAGTGACCTTTACGTTCCACAAATCGGAGCCCGTCTCTTTCCTGCATGGAAGGCTGTGGGAGGGTCCTTGGCTTTTCGGAGAAAACCCTGAACTCCAGCATGCCACCCGTACTCTGGCTCCTGACCGCCTCCCCCGGCAGCCCCTTGTCGCCACCGCTCGCTCTGCTGCAGCCGCGTGGACTTTCTGTCCTCACAAGCCACGTTCTCTCTCCCATGGGAGCATTTTCACATCCTCCTTCATGAAGTCCCAGACACACTATAGCAGCTCCGACCGGGGCTCACACATGCGGTTTGTAGGTTTCAGCTCGACACCCCCCCCCTCCCCGCACACACCTTTCACGAACTCACTCGGACAAAACCCGTCCTCGCGACTCGGCACACACTTGGCGTCACCCCCTCACCCGCCAGCCCTTGGAGGACACACACTGTGTTTACGTGCTCAGGGCTGACCCATGTGCTGAACTAAACATAACAGGCGCTTGGGCCCTTTTGCCCTTGGTGATAAACTTTTTTGGTTCTGTTACTGGCTCTGAAGTTCACAGTAAATGTATTTCCTCACCTTAATCTTCTTTTGTAGTGGGGACTGGAAACCTACTGCAATTCCAGGGTCTGAGTGTTTTTGGCCCCTGCTGATCTGGAAGATCAAAAAAAGAAATTATACTGGGGCGTGGAGAAGGGTCTCAGGAAACATGCTGTAGTGTGAATTACATTAGGGAGTGATCTGGGTCTTGACTCTTCATATGTAGTGAAAGGCACTCCTCTGTGCCACCAGGCAGGACTCCACGATTTGTTTATTGTCTTCTGTTTTTCCTTGAAGCAAGGAAAAAATGCCCTCTAGTAAAAGTATAAAGAGTCACATAGTGTTTGAGGTTGAAACTATCAGAAGTACTTCCATTTTCACCCTGGACAGCGGAGGCTAAGCTGCTATTTCAAATTTCACAAACCACTCTTTGTGTAGAATTGCTGGTGGAACAAAGACCTTACCTTTGATGGGAAAATACTGTTCAAAGTAGGTTAATTCCATTTTAAGTTGTCAGGAGAGTTATTAACAATAAGTATAATTTCTAGGCTATCATTAATTCCCACCACCAGCTGTCCAACTGTAATGTGTTCCATGACTCTTGTCAAAGGTTTACATTTTAGATGAATGATTTGACAGTGATGCAGAAAACTCTGCAGTCATATTTATGCATCCTCCAGACCTGTTATTTCTTACCCTGCTTAGTAAATAAATAGGCTTTGTGTTTACCAATCTGGGTTATAAGTTTAGTTTCTCTGACTTCTCTAAGCAGCAAAGAGAAGGATTTTAGAACATAGAACTGGAAGACACCAAAACTCTATTTGCCTTTTAAATAAAGCTAATTACTTAACAGACTCATATTTCCGCTTTCGTGTTTTTCTTTCCTAAGAGATCTTGTATTACTTCCAAAGCAACATTTATAGAGTTTACTATACACGAGGCATTGTGCTAAGAACTTAAATGGATTCTTTTACTTAATCTTCCAAACACCTACATGGGGTGGGTACTCGTTATCCCCAAATCATGGTGAAATGGGCTGAGGCCGAGAGAGACTTGTTGAGCTCCCAGGGTTAGTTTCAGAAGCAGAATTTGTGCCTGAATGGCTGCAAAGCACACAATTTTCATTCCTGTGCTACATACACTCCTTACCAGATGATGAACATTCTCTCACGTTTAGTCAAAGTGGAAGACAAACACCTACTATTCTTCTGCACTCAGATCCAACCATTCTGAGTCCGTTACCTAAGGAAGGTGCGAGGTGGGGTCAGCCCCGCTGGTGGGTCCTTCCTTAGACACCCCCCCACCCTGTCCACACAGCGCTGTCAGTACTTGAACCGTCCTTGCAGCCTCCTGCTGTTTCCCTTTGGCGTCTTTTGTTTCAGCCACTGCCCTGTGGATCGATTGATTGCCAACCTTTGGGACACCTTTGGTCTTCACCGTGTTCCTCTCTGCATCTGCGCTCTAACTGCTCTCGTCTCTCTGATCGCTCATTCTCTTTTCTGCAAAGTACCATTTTTTAGTCATTGAGGTTTCTGGCCCGCTATCAGACTCCCAACCACCCCAAGCATCCATCAGCTTTCAGGTTGTTTTAGGTTGATTTCTAGGGCAACCAAAAGCAGTCACAAGCTTTCTGTGCGTCATTACTATCTACGTAGAGACGACTGTGAGGTTGTGGGTGAAGACAGCATCTTGTCACTAGGGAAGGAACTTCAGTGTGAGCTGGGTTGTTTCACAGACACAGCCGTTCCATCTCAGGGCAGTCGGGGGAGCACCTTTCGAGGCGACAGAAGCATCTTTTTTCTTTTTGAATATATATTGTCTGTCTTCCATGGAAATGGAATCAGTGGGAAACCTGAGATGGACCCTATGCACACAATCAGTAGTCGGTGGAGGTTGGATGAGGGTGTAGACTGCCAGTCATGCGGTCTCATCCTTGCTTAGCCGGTACCGCCACTCAGCTAAATACCACTGCTGCTTGGGAGGTTGGGAGCTCCAAGCCTATTCAATATACTTTCAGTCGCGTTATTGAATTATGCTCATAACTGGTCATTCCTTAAAAACAAAGAAGCAGAAAATACACCAACACTGAAGTGCAAATTAATGAAAATGATTCTCCATATTCCATCAAGATACTCTTCATGATGTATAGAAGCTGCATCTGTCCAAATGAGGTCTTCGTGTAGCTCACTAAGTTGTCTCTAGTTCTTTAAAAAATGCAACAAGGAGAAAGTACAGTAATTAATCGCAGACTGGCTTCTCATTGACTAGGACTAAAATCTTTGCCTTCCAAAGTGGACTGTGTGTAGAGACTTCTTGAAGCTGTAGCCCCAGCCGCCACCAGCGTGCACGGCCACACCACCCTGAACCTGCTCCATCTCCAAAACTGAAGTCCAAGCTCAGACTGAGAAATGAGTTATAAAAGTAACCATGGATATTTTATGCTTAAATGAAAGAATTTCAAACATCAAGTCGTGACAGTGGTTTCTGTCTATTTCAAACCAAAGCACTGATGAATTAAATTTCAATTTACATTTTAATCATTTGTTTCTTGAGCCAAGCAAGATACCACTGTAACACTGATAAAGTCACGCCACTCGACTGTCAAACTCACGTGATATTAATTCAGCCAAAATTGTTACAATACGTGAGATGTGACAGCGTCATACTACCAAAACAAGTTTCTAACACGGGCACACCTCATTTTATTGTACTTCACAGATGTGTCTCTTTTTTTACAAATTGAAAGCAAGACCTTCCACTAGCAAATACAGTACAACTGGCTTTACTGTGGGGGCCTGGAGCCTAGCCCACCGTCTCTGGAGGCATGACTGTTCACTCTGAGCCAGGCACTGTGTGAAGTGCCAAAAGGCAGTTCCTTATTTATCCTCCTGTGAAAACAGGAGTAGAACACTCTTGTTTGATTAAAAAGAATGCAGTTAATATGAGCCTCTCTTTAAGGAATCAGCTGCGTTAAAATAAAGCTTACATACAGAGAATAACATGGACACAAAAGTACTTTAATTTAAGTACTGTGTTGTAAGTTGTTTCTCTTTCCTGATAAGAGGAACCGGGAGGATAAGGAATGTTCTTAAGCCAGGGAGATAAACAAAGAACACTTTCGATAAGCAAATCAGGTTGAAACTATGTTTTTCTATGAAAAATATAAAAACAAAGGACTCTTTGCTAACAGTATTTTTACTATACACCTAAATTTTAAGCCTTTTTCAAAAAACATGAACTATGTCTAAACAGTTATGCGAAGTTCTGCCTGGGGAAAAAGGATGTCTCCGGGACTGAAATTATTATTAACCACTTATGTCACTGAACTTGAAATGAACTTCACAGTATAACCTCAGATTAACTTCTGGCACTGGAAACAGCACCTTGCCTGCTGTCTCCATTTGGCAGAATTGTAAAAACAAAATAAAAGAGGAAGTGGCTCCGTAGAATCTAAACGTAAAACCCGTGACACTCCCACCAGCCTGTGTGGTAACCTTATACTCCCAATTTTTTGTATGAGGAAATGTCAGCTAAGAAAGTTAAGTGCTGTATCGAAAGCCACACATCTGCTTAGTGAGAGACTGAAACTTGAACGTGGACAACTAAAAGCAAAGTCTGTGTCTTCAGCACACGCCATACCATCTAACCAACCTTGGTTTGCCGGAGGAGTAGAAACTGTCCTTACCTTTGTAGAGCTTACAATCCAGTAAGGGAGGCAGGAAGTGCATGCAAGCGCTCGCCTGTGAAACCGCGGTACAGAGAGGGCAGGGCGCTCACTGTGGAGGGAGTCAGGCATCAGTGTGACGTGGGGCTGGTCAAGGTCTTCTTAGGGAGCATGCTCTGAGCAGAGTGGCGACACTCCTGAGACCCCTGAAGCAAGAGGTGACTCAATCAGAGAGGCGTTGCCTAGAGAAAGTTGCACAGGCAGAGTTCTGTATGGAGGGAGGGATGTTGGGGGCTGGAATGTCGAGTTCTGTGTGGGAAGGGACACTGGAGCCGGAGCATGGCCCAGGGGAATTGTGATGACTTCCTAAAACAGAGAGCTATGAAATGTTAGTAGGAGAGTGATTAAAAAGAAGCGGCACTAGAGAAAAGATCCTCACACTGTAGGGCCACCAGCAGAAGACAAGTAGACAAGCAGAGCACTGGGTGGGCCGAGTGGCGCTGCAAGAACTTGGTTCTACACGGGTGTTGTTCAACAAAAATAGAATGTGAGTCACAGATAAAATTTACATTTTTCTAGGAGCTACGTTTACAAAAGTAAAAAAAACCCAACAACCCAGATGAGATTAAAATATACCCAGGATATACAAAATACTACCAGTCCACAAGTAATCAATTTAAAAGTTTTAAACCACTGTTCTATTTTATTAATAAACTTAATTTTTTAGAGCAGCTATAGGGTTACAGAAATGTGGATGAAAAGTACTCTTTCTCTAAGTTCCCCTAATATTTATATCTTGCAGTAGTGTGGTACATTTGTTATAATTGAAACATTAATATTAATACATTATTATTAACCAAAGTCCTTAAGATTCACTCATTGTGTTGTACATTCCATGAGTTCTGACGAATTTATAATAATAGGAGTTCACTATTATAATCATACAGATCTTTTGCCTATTTTTAACTGGGTTGTTTGTTATTGCTAAGAATTTTAGGAGTTCTTTATTTTCTTTGCTTATGATCCATTCTTAGTTACTTTGGTGAAGGGTATAATGTCTGTGTGTAGGTTGATTTGTTTATTCTGCATGTGGATGCCCTGTTGTTCCAGCCGAATTTGTTGAAAAGTCTCTCCTTTCTCCATTGAATGGCCTTTGCTCCTTTGTCAAAGGTCAGTTGACTGTGTCTGTGTATCCACTTCGGGCTTTCTGCTCTGTTCCCTTGATGTTGGTCTGTTCTTTCTCCACTGTTGTGCTTACTCTAGTTTTACGGTGAGTTTTAAAGTCTGGTAGTGTCCTTTCCCTGATTTCATCGCTCTTCTTTAACAGGGTTTTGGTTACATCCAGTCTTTGGCCTCTCCATAGAAACTTTAGGATCCACCTGTTGATATCCTCAAATAATGTGCTGATATTTTGACTGGGATTACTTTGACTCTAAAGGTCAAGTTGGGAAGAAATAACATCTTAATATTCACCTTCCTATCAGTGAACATGGACCATCTCATCATTTATTTAGGCCTTTGATTTCTCTCATCTTCAGTTTGTACTTTTCCTTATACAGGCATTTTATACATTTTGTTAGATTTATACAAAAGTATTTCTTTTTTTTTCTGGTGCCAATGTAAATGGTATTTTTTTAGTTTCAAATTCCAATTAACATTGTATTCTGCAACCTTGCTATAATTGGTGATTAGTTCCAAGACAATTTTGCTGTTGTTGAGTCTGTGGGATTTTCCATTTGGCCAAACATATCATTTGTGAACAAAGAGTGGTAGTTTTTTTCCCCTTCCCAATATGTGTACCTTTTATTCCTTTTCTTATTTGCTGCATTAGCTCAGATTTCCAGTGTGAAGTTGAACAGGAGTGGCGAGAGGGGACATCCTTTCACTGTTCCTGGTCTTACCAAGAAGGCATCTAGTTTCTCACGGTTAAATGTGATGTTAGCTGCAGGGTTCTTATAGATGTTTATCAAGTTGAAGAAGTTCCTCTCTATTTCTAGTCAGCTGCGTTTTTATCATGAAAGGTGTTGGATTTTGTCAAATTCTTTTTCTGCATCTATTGATATTTTTCTTCTTTAGCCTTCAGATGTGATGAATTACATTAATTACTTTTGAATGTTGAACTAGCTTTGCTTACCTGGAGTAAGTTCTACTAGGTGGTGGTGTGTGATTATTTTACACACTGTTGGATTCCATTTACCAATACTTTATTCAGGAGTTTTGCATCTATGTTTACTAGAGATATTGGTCTGGAGTTTTCCTTTCTTTGCAATGTCTTTGTCTGGTTTTTGTATCAGCGTAATGCTGACCTCACAGAATAAGTTAGAAAACTAATTTTGCTGCTATTTTCTGGAAGACTCTGTAGAAAGTTGGTAAAATTTACCAGTGAAACCATCTGGGCCTGGTGCCGTTTTCATAGGTCATTAATTATTGATTCTATTTCTTAGATATAGGCCTATTCAAATTATCTATTTCTTATTTTGTGAGTTTTGGTAGATTGTGTCTTTCAAAGAATTGATTCATTTTTTCTAGGTTATCATTATCTATAGGTAGTAATTGTCCTTTTAATGTCCATGGGATTCTTCATTTTAGATATTGGTTGTCTTTTCTAGTTTTCTTTTTAAAGACTTTATTTTTAGGGAATGGGGAGGGAAACAACATCACTGTGTGGTTGCATCTTGCAGGCACCCCACTGGGGACCTGGCCTGCAACCCAGGCATGTGCCCTGACTTGGAATTGAACTCCTGACCCTTTGGTTCACAGGTCTGCACACAATTCACTGAACTACACCAGCCAGGGCTCTAGGTTTTTCTTAATTAGACTTACCAGTTTTATCAAATTGATTGGTCTTTTCAAAGAAACAGCATTGGGTTTTGTTGATTTTCTTTATTGATTTCCTATATTCAAATTCAGTTACTTTTGCTTTAATTTTTTGTTACTGCTTCCTCCTTATTTTGGATTTAACTTGCTCTTCTTTTTCTAGTTTCCTGAGGCAAAGGCTTCGATTGTTAATTTGAGATAGTTTCTAATACATGCGTTCAGTGCTATAAATTTCCCTCTAAGCACTGCTTCTGCAGCATCTCCTGTTTTGGTTAAGTTGTATTTTCATGTTCATTTAGTTCGAAGTATTTCTAAATTTCTCCTGAATCTTCTTGGACTCAAGTATTATTTAGAAGTGTGTTGTTTAATTTCCAAACATTTTGGCATTCTCTAGCTGTTTGTTTTATTCTACCATGGCGTGAGAGCATACTTTATATGATTTCTATTTTAGAGACCCAGAATGTTTTTTTTTATAAAGATTTTTATTTATTTATCTTTAGAAGGGAAGGGAAGGAGAGAGGAGAAGAAACATCAATGGATCGTTGCCTTTTGTGCGTCCCCTGCTGGGAACTGGCCTACAGGGAACTGGCCTACAACCCAGGCATGTGCCCTGACTAGGAATTGAACCGCGATTGTCTGGATCGCAGGCCCGCGCTCAATCCACTGAACTACACCAGCCAGGGCTGCAGTCTCTTTTAGTCAAAAATAGACCATGAGAGTTTGAGAATGGTGTGGGTGCTGCTGCTTGCTGTTGGATGAAGTGCTCGCTGGGTGTTAGATCGTGTTGATTCGTGGTGTTGTTGAGTTCAGTTGTGTCTTTAGTGACGTAATGCCTGCTGGGTCTGTTACTGACGGAGGAATGCTGAGGTTTCTGTAAGAGTGAATTGGATTAGTTCTTGCAATGCTATCAGTTTTTGCCTCACGTGGTTTGCGACTCTGTGCTGGGGGCATACAGATCAAGGATCGCTATGTGCTCTTGCAGAACTGACCTGTTGTTATTGTGTAACATATGTTTTGATCCAAAATTTCCCTGTTCTGATGTTTACGTTGTCTGAAATTAATGTAGCTACTCCCCAGCCATCTTTTTATTTTTAATGTTTCTCACCTGAGAACATTTTTTCATTGCTTTGAGAGAAACATCAATGTGAGAAACATTGATTCTACACACACCAACTGGGGATTGAACCTGCAACCTGGGTACATCCCTTGACTGGGAATCGAACCCAGACCTTTTGGTCCATGGGCTGATGACTCTGCAACACAGCCACACCAACCAAGATTCTAGCCATCTTTTGATTAGTGTTAACAACATAGCTCTCTCTGTCTCTTTTTAATTCATCTGTTTTTTTATATTTATAGTGGATTTTTTGGTAGATAACATACAGTTGGGCCTTGTTTTTTATCCAGTCTCACTGTCATTTCATTAATATATTTAGACCACTGACGTTTAAAGTGGTTATTGAAAAAAGTGATTATTGATATAACTGAAATAATTAAAAGCAAAGGTAACTATCTATTGTAGGCAATTTCATAAATAAAAGGACATTCTAATAGTGCTTCTACCCCCAACCCCCCTGCCCACACCCCAAAGGGGGAAACCAGGTGAAGGTTTGTGTTTCCTCATCTACAGAAGTCCAGTCCTAGTATTTGTTGCTCTCTTTCTTGCTCTAATTTAATTTAATCACCTTTACTCTCTTCTGCTTTTTACTAGTTGTGTGACGTTAGGTAAGTTATTTAGCCTCTTTGGTCTGTTTTCTATGTTGTGAAGTTGCTGTAAAGGATTCCATGAGTTGAAACATATGCTTAGGACTTTGGACATTCTCCTAGTTCAAGGCTGGCATGCCCTGGAGCGCTGGGCTGAGGTTGGTTTAGGGCGTGGGGACGGTTGGGACTTCAAAAGGACGAGTGAAGGGGACAAGGCTGTAAGACTGAAAAGCCTACTGGCATCCTACTCGCTGTACTGAGCATGTTTCATTTAACAGACCCTTTCATTCAACATGAGCTTGTCCAGGAAAAAAACCGAGACTAATCAAATGTTATAATGAACAAAATGGAGGAAGGTGGTTCTAAGAATATGGTGTCTAACAAGAAGCCTTCGAGTAAGGGGCTAACGCTGGAGAAGCCTAGAGGGGCCCTGAAAACCTGTTGCATGCTACATAGCTCCCCCTAGTTTCTTCCCCATTGTCACGGGCACAAGTATTGCTTAGCAGTTAACAGGCTACTCTGCCGGCAAGCAAGCTCTTGTTTCACTGGGCACAAACCCAGCAGCATGGACCTTGAAGTCAAGAAGGTTGGAACTGATCTCAAAAGTTTACCTCTCTCTTGCCAAGTTTCATTTCACTTTTTAAACTATTGCAGAAAGATAATTAGCTTTATTGCTGACTGGGGAAAATAAAAGGAATCAAATTACCAGTACACACAAAGATTAAGGAATACTGCCTTGTTGGAGGTACTCATTTTTATGCTTTGCCGCAGACTCGTCCTCGCTGGAAAACCCCCTTTAAAATATGTTCTTTGCGTCTTGGTTGGTGTACCTCAGTGGACTAAGCGCGGGCCTGTGAACTAAAGAATCATGGTTCAATTCCCAGTCAGGGCACATTCCTGGGTTGCAGGCCAGTTCCCAGCAGGGGGTGCACAAGAGGCAACCATACGTTATTTCTCTCCCTCTCTCCTTCCCTTCCCTTCTAAAGATAAATAAAATCTTAAAAAAAATAAGTGGTTTGTAAGATTGTTGAGGCCCAAGGGCTGAATTCAGCCTTTTTAAGTTTGTTTGGCTGTACAGTTAAATTCTTTTAAAGTAACACCTCAAATACTGTATTTAAAAAATCTAGATGCCCAGCTTCCCTTTGCAAGTCGTAAGTTAGGGCGGCATTGGGGTAATAGTGGCACAAGGCAGCAACTAGCTCTGGCAGTGTCCTTTCAAGGCGATGTGTCCTTCGACCCATCTACCCGGGCCGCTCGGAAGGCCTGCGAGTGTACGTGAGTACCTGCTGGTCTGGAAGGAGCTTGGGTTGGCTACATGGCGGCCAGGGACGGTCTGGGATGGTAACTTTCAAACTGAGACCCACAGTAAATAACTTTGATCCCAGCCTGCGTGCCTCGGTTTCCAATCCGTAAAATGGGGCTGACGAGGGGCAGCTGTGGGAAGGACCGGCGATGGAGTATGTAAAGGGACCGGAGTACAGGACCTCCATCACGTTCACGCCGCGGGGTGTCCTGACCCCAAAAAGGACTGGATGAGAGGTGCCGCTCCGGGGGCCGAGCTGGAGCTCAGCAAAGCACCGCCGGACCTCGTTCTTCTCTCTTCCCCTCTCCTCTCTTCCCCGTGGCGGGCCCCCCCGCGCACCTCGGAGGTCGGCCCCGGGACGCCGAGAGGCGTGGCCCGCCCGTGCGGAGCCTTGCGCGGCCATGGCCTCGGTGGTAGAGTACAAGGGACTCAAAGCCGGCTACCACTGCGGCTACTGCGACGCGGAGGAGGGCAAAGCGTCCTGCGGTGAGTGTCTCCGTTGACCGAACTGGCGCGGCCACCTCGCGTCCAGCGCTTCGTGCCCCGCGCCAGCCCCTCGCGGCGGGGCACTCGGGACCGGCTCTCCCACGCCCGCTTCCCTTTCCCACTCGTTTCTTCCCAGACCGTTTCCTTTCACGCTCCCACTGTCAGCCTCACCCTCACCGAAGATGGCCGTTCCTCTCCGAGAAGGAAGAGAAATAGGCAAAGGCTGCCCGGGACCAAAATGGCGCGGGCGGCGTCACCACCCTACGACTGCGGCGCGGCCGGGCTTGCGGGCCGCCGTGCGGCTGCCAGTGCGCCTCCTGGCCTCCGGGCGGCGCGGTGCATTGTGGGGTGGCGGCGGCGGCGTTGGGCTGGGGTGCGCCTCGTTCGGAGAGCCGGGGCCATGGCATCCTGTACAGCTCTTTCGTCCAGCATCGTGGAGTATTTTCAGGGCGATGGCTTTTACCGCTGTGGTTATTGCAAGAACGAGTCGGGGAGTCGCTCCAATGGTGAGCGGGCCGGCGGGTGGGCAAGGGGAGGGCGCCGAGGCCGCTGGGGCTCCGCGGCTGAAGGGCGTCCTCGAGGGTCGCTGCTCCCCGGCTTGAGCCAACCGGCTCGAGGGACCCACGGCGGCTGGAGCCCCAGCCCAGTCCCTGTCTGGTGGAGGGAGTGCGAATGCAGCTACCCCGTGGCTGTCAGCATTACATAAAAACAGACTTCACCTGATGCAGCAGGTAAGCTTCTAGGTGCATATTCTTCACTCGGGTGCTCGGACGTGCGAGATAGTGACTGTCTCGCAGCAGCCAAGTGTGGAAACAGATGCCCATCACCAGTGACGGGTAAATAGACGTTGGCATGCGTGCGAAGGAGCCCAGTAGTGTCGTCAGTTACGCCTAGAGTTGTCCTATAACTCTGACGCTGATGTGGGAAGGATCCCCAGTAGTAGGTGCTGGCCAGGGAGTGCCCGGTGGTGCTATTTGTGTAAAAAACGGTGTATGTGCACACCTGTGCGTGGGCATCCGTGAATAAAATGGTCTCCGCAAGAAGATACAAGAAACTGGTGACCGTAGGCGCTGCTGGCGAGGGGACCGGTTTGTCTTGATGTGTTTGAAATATTTACCAGGCGCTTATATGCCATGTCATTTTTCCACCCACTGCGATGACGACGCAAAGCCAGCCTGCAGTTGATTTTTTCCTTTCCTATCATGATTTAGGTTTCTTTCGAAAAATGTGTTGTTAGTAAACAAAACATGGTGTTTATTTCCCGCAATGGCATGCATTGGCAAATGCAGAATCTCCTGTTTTAAAGAACAATCCAGCATAGTGGTAAGTGGGCTATCCACGAAGATGTAAGTTTAGGTAGTTCCCATTTTGAAAACAGTGTAAATGCCCTACAGTAGGGGAATGATTTGGGTGATTATAGTGTGTCCATTTACTAATTAATTAAAAGTGTTTATTAAGTACTGCTTCTGAGGGAGTAGAATGTCACGTAATGCAGTCTTTATGAGTGAGGATTATGAAGATGATGAGCTAAGTGGGAAGATGTTTAGAGTGTAGCATTAAACGGAGAAAATAAACAGGATGCAAATGAGGTGACATGATTACACCCCTGGGAGGGAAAAAACCCAGAAGGACAACAAATGGTGACTGTTTTTAGGCCTTAGCTTATTCAATGGATTCCTCCCTTTTTCAGAATTTTAGTATTGAAACTGTAATATGTGTGTGATAAATAAGTTATGTTAAATGTCTAAAATTAACATTTTAATAGATTTTTAATTATTCTAGTAATTTTACTAGGAGAAAATTGGTTAATATAGATGTTCAGTATTTAAAGTCTTGCGGAAGAAACCTGCTTTTGACCCTTTAGTTACCTAAAGAGATCACTAAAATTTTTACCCTATCCCAATTTTAATCTTAATAATAATTTTTACGGTAGAACACCCCACCTAGTGGGTAGGTCGGTTATCTTATTCCTGTGTTACAGGCGGTGAAATCAAGCTCACAGAGTGAACTTGTCAGTGTTAGTCCTCCTGTGCCCTAGCTTTTCTCACTGCGTCCTGCTTGTCTGGTCTGCCCCTGTCTCTACAAGTCTGATGTTGTTTACTCTGTACAGGAGAAAAGTTTTTGTTTCTCTTAATGTTAATTACACCTTTCAGTGTCTTTTTTATGGTCTTCATTTTTTTTATGATTCCAGAATTATTTTATCATATTGATGACACAGAACCTGTAATCACCTTTTCCTAGGCATTTGGGTCATTTTTAGTTTTATACTTAAGAAGGTTATGACTGTATACTTTTGTCCTTTTCTGATATTCGAGACTGTACTGTAAATATATATGAAAATCAAGAAATGTATATGCACAAGAAAACACTTTCTAACTTTTCTGAAGAGACTAGTTTAATAATTTATTGGGGGTATTATTATTGTTTAAAGGTTTACTATAATCTGGTTGCAGTGAGGACCTAAATTTATGATGTCGTGGAGACTCTTGACTGATCTTGAATTCAGTGTAATAACTTTGATGTGTGTGTTTTTTAAAAAAATTGAGGTGATATGTCATATTTTTCATTTGTTATGTATTATGTCAAACCAACAAGTATGCAAACTTTATACTTTTCCTCCAGTGTGAGCCAGATTTTTTTCCTTCTGTGTCCACATTAAAAAATGACTGCTTTGAATTTAAAAAAGTAAGAAGTTCAGCCTGCTGTCCTTGACATGTTACTTATTTTTTCAGGCATGTGGGCACATTCCATGACAGTACAGGACTATCAGGATCTCATAGACCGAGGATGGCGGAGGTAAAGCTCCTTAGTGCAAAGGTGGCTTCTGTTATTACTCAGGTTCTTCTTGTAACTGAAAAAAAATACTGTTTGCCTTTAAAGTGTTTTCCTCTTGTTGGAAAGAGGTTTAAGAAATTTTTTATTATTTTGCGCAATCATTTTCTGTCTCTCTTTTTTAAGGATCTTTATTAGGAAAATTTTAAATATGCACAAACATGGGGAGTACATTATAATGAATCTCACGTACCTGCCACCAAGTTCAATAGTTAACATTTTGCCAATCTTGTTTCATCCATTCCTCTTGCTCCCTGCACTGGGCTGAATGTTTGTGTCCCACCAAAGTTTGTGGGTTAAACCCGAACTCCCATTTATGGTAGTGTTTGGAGGGGGGGTTTTGTGGGTGATAAAGTTGTAAAGGTGGAGCCGCCAAGAATGGGATTAGTGTCCTCGCCCCTTCTGCCCTGAGAGGGCACAATGAAAAGAGGAACCAGGAAGCTTGTCTTCATGAGACATTGGGCCTGCTGGTGCCTTGACCTTGGGCATTCCAGCCTCCAGGATGGTGAGGAATAAACTTTGTTGTTTAGAAGCCACTTAGTCAGTGGCACTCTGGGATGGCAGCCCAGGTGGACCAAGGCACGCCTCCTCTTCTTCCCCCACAAAATAATTTAAAGCCAATTTCAGGTGTCATATCAGTAGACCTGTAAATAGTTATGTGTTTCTAAGAAAGTGTCTTTTATGCTTTAATAACATATCCACAATAGCATTTATCATATTATGCAAAATTAATAATTCTTTGATGCCATCTCTTACCTAATTTTGATTAGATTTTCTGCTCATCTCAAAATGTCTTTTATGATTTTAATAGTTTATTTTTTGTTGTATTTTTCCATTACCATTTATCCCCCTTGTCCCTCCTTACACCTCCACCCAGTCCCCATCCACCAGTCACTACACTGTTGTCTGTGCTCATCAGTTCTTTCTCATTTTGCTTAATCCCTCCCCCACCCAGAGCTGTCAGTCTGTTCTCTGTCTGTGAGTCTGTCTCTATTTTGCTGTTAGTTCAGTTTGTTCATTAGATTCCACGTGTAAGTGAAATCATACAGTATTTGTCTTTTTTTTTTTTAAACAGCTGGTTTGTTTGAATTAGGATTCCATGATGGCTAAGAATTTTCTGGTAGTTATTATGTAGGTGATTTCAAAGCAACTATGGAGCACTAGGTGAAGTTCCTGATATGTGTAGTATGAGCAGGGTTGAGTGCCCTGTGCCCGTGGCCCCCGGGAGACAGAGGATTAAGCACAGCAGGTGAAACTTCCCAACTGGCCTTGAACTCAGTAGTGGGTTCCAAAAGTAGCTGTAGGTCTCATGCTGAAGGACTGTGTGTGCCACAATAAGGAACATTTTTAAAGGCAGAGGGGAACCACTGAAGGCCTCTGTGTCACAAAGAAGTGTGATGGAGTTTGTGCTTTGGAAATCATCGTTTGCCCAGCGAAGGAGGATTTGAGGGCTTGGAGGCAGAATACTGCTGCCCGCGATGGTGGCGGTGTCGGGACGTGAGATGGCAAAGGCCAACACGACCGTCAGTGGCAGTGGTGATAGCTAGGAGGGGACAGATTTCAGATTCATTTTGGAGGTGGAAGCTTGCTGATAGGACACAGAGCTACTTTAGAGGTAGGAGTCTAAGGTGAGCCCTAGGTTCCTGGCTTGGGGATTGAACTCGTGTTTGTTTGGGCTGCCGTAACAGTTCCACAGATGGGGCAGCTTAGACAACAAAAGTTTGTTCTCTCACCGTCCTGGAGGCTGGAAGTCTGCCATCAAGTTGTCCAGAGCTTTGGTTTCTTCTGAGGCCTCTCTCCTGGGCCTGCACAGGGCTGCCTTCTCGCTGTGTCCTCACATGGTCCTTTCCCTTGGGGTGCACATCCCTGGTGCCATGTGGTGTCCCTTTGTGTTTGCAGTTTTCTTTTCTCACAAGGACACACATCAGATCAGATTAGGACTCGTCTTAACAGCTTCATTTTAACCCAGTCACCTCTTTAAAGGCCTTACCTTCACATGTAGTCACATTCTGAGGTGCTGGGCGTTAGGGTTTCAGCATGAATTTGGGGGACAAAATTCAGCTCATGATGTCATGGTTCTGCCATTAACTGAGATACAGAAGTTTGAAAGGAGCAGGTTGGCCTGGGGGTACTTTGTGCTGTTTCCCGTGAAACCCCAAGTGTGGGGGCCATAGGCAGCAGTGTACAGTGGCCCTGCAGCATCCTGGGCGGCTCTCTGCCCGTGGCATTTAGGATTGCGGTGGTAGAGCCAGCACAGAAAGGATCGCAGACGCTGGCGGGAAGGTGACAGGTGATTAGCCTTGCAGTACGCAGGTGCAGGTGGAGAAAGAGTCCTCTGGTCCTCAGTCTGCCCACGGGGCGGAATTTCTGTGCTTGGGAAGAGTGACTAAACCTAAAGACGTTTTTATACTGTTGATTAGATTGTTTCCCTAGTTAAGTTCCTGCTTCTGTCCTAATCTACTTTGGCATGTATGAGAAATGTGTAAGAAATTAACAAAGCTATTTTGTAATTTCAGAAGTGGGAAGTATGTGTACAAGCCTGTGATGAATGAAACATGTTGTCCTCAGTACACAATAAGGTACGAGTTTTTTTTTAGATTTCATTTGTTTATTTTTAGAGAGAGAGGAAGGGGGGAGACAGAAAGGGAGAGAAGAAACATTGTTGCTAGAGAGAAACATCAATTGGTTGCCTCTCATATGCACCCTGACCTGGGACCAAACCCACAATCCAGGCTTGTGCCCTGACCGAGGATCGAACTGCCCACCTCTGGCTTAGTGGGTTGGTGCCCATCCAACTGAGCCACACCAGTCAGGGCAATGGTAAGAGTTTTGATTGCTAGAAGGGGGCTCTATAATATGAAGGTGTAATTTTTTTAATAGAATCTTACTTGTTTTAAATGTTAATTTATATTCTAGGTAAACATTCGTTATATGCAAACGCAAGTGAGTTATGGCTTTTGTACCTACTGATGCTGTATTCACGTGCTGATCAATAGGTTTTATTAATATTTAATTGGTTCATATATAAATATGGAAAAATACTTCTTTATTTGGCACGCTAGTCAGTGATACCATGAAACAGTTGGAAAATATTGGTAAATACTGAAATTATTATTATTGATTTTTTTAAAGATTTTATTTTTTATTTGTCTACTCTTAGAGGGGAAGGGAGGGAGAAAGAGGGAGAGAACATGGATGTGTGAGAGAAATAGTGATTGGTTGTCTCTTGCACGCCCCATCTGGGCACCTGGCCTGCAGCCCAGGCACGTGCCCCAATGGGGAATCAAACCAGCAGCCTCTTGGGTCACAGGCCGGCACTCAGTCCACTAAGCCACCCAGCCAGGGCTGAAATTATTTTTAGATACCAGATTTTTACAGGTTTCAGCTCAGGGCTTCCCCTGCTCTACTGTATTTCTTGAGACAGTACTTAACCAGGAATCAGTGGAATTTTGGGGGAATCTGTAATCATTCTAAATGTGCCCCCTCCCTTGTTTGATTTTGTCACAGGGAGGGCCTGGAACATCATCAGATTCTAAAACAGTGCACAGAAAAGTAGCACTGTGGGGTTCTGGAGGGGGTCGCGATCCACCACGTGCGTTTGGGGTCCGCTTTTCTTCACGGAAAACTTAAATAAAATCCCTTGTTTTCCTGCAAAGCATTTGAGTGATTGTTCATAATCTTTTCGGTTTTTACCCTTTGCCCCCTTTATCCCACCCTAACTGGGAAAGATTCCCCCCCTTCTTTGATTATAAAGGCTCTCCTCCTCTTCTCCCTCATTGTCTTCCTCTCCCCTTCTCTTTCCTTGTACAAAGTGGGGGGAGGCGATAACAGTGCAGCACATGCGTCTCCTGCAGTCGTGTGTATATACGAGGTGTACTTTAACTAAAAAAGCGAACGGTCGTATCCATCACTGTCTGACTGGTCCTCGTAGCCTCTCTCTTAGCCGCACTTCCTTTTTTGTGCTGTTTTGAGACTTTGATGAAAGTTACAGACCCTCCATGCAGCAGAATCAAACAAGGGAGGGGGCACATTTAGAAGGATCACAGATTCCCAAGAAGTTTCACTGGTTCTTGGATCGCAGACACTGTGATCCAAGAAAGTTAAGAGTCCGTTCTCTGACTGATCACAGACCTGAGACAGTAAACAGGAAGGTGGTTGTCTGTCTGGTTTGCCAACAGCATCTTTTTTATTACACAAAGAATAACATGACAGAGTAGCAGTGCTGGGCCTGTTCAACTTGTGTGGTTATGCAGCAGTGACATCTTCGAAGGCAGAAGTCACTGTCCTTCAGATAGCAATTTTTATTACTAGGTTATGGCCAGGATTCTATCAGGTAAGTCTGAAGTTGATTGGCCTGAACCCTGGGAACAGTAACCAGAAAAGGCCAATTCAGTGGGTTAAAGAAAAACACAAAGCATCTGTAATTTATCAGGTGCTTGTCACATGCAGAGTGTGGTTTCTGATAAATTGTTTTTAATTTTTAAAAAATTGATGTGTGTGGTCTGTATGTGAGAGAGAGAGAGAGAAAAACATTGATTTGCTCTTCCATGCAGCCTCACATTCGTCGCTTATTCTCGTATGTGCCCTGCTGGTGCTTTGGGCTGGGTTGGGGCAGTGGGTTGCAGGGCTCAGCATCCAGTCCTAGACTTTGAGTTAAGCTTCCTGTTTCCGGTATGTCTCCATAGCTTTCAGCTGTGCTGTATTCCTCACGCAAGAGGCTCTGTTTTTACTCTTTCCTAAAACTTTGCAGTTTTTTGCTGGGTTGTGTAGGAAATCAGCTGTGTAGAGTGGGGGTGGCATCTGATGTCTAACTACTTTCAAAGGAGGCTTTCAGGGGATCTTCCTGGTTTTAGACCCACCTTCTTGCACATCTCCTGGAGTGTTTATGTACCACCAGTCCCTAAGTGTTTTAGGGGTAATGCAGAGAAAATCGGGTCTCTATGTGGCTTCTCTCACTGTCCAGGTTTGAGATTCTACTGTTTGGTCTGCTAAGTCAGTTAGCGTTTGTTCTTCTGCTTTCCAGCTTCCAGCATCTCTCCCATTCTCTTTTTCCTAGTGGTTTACGTCTTCCTTTTTTTCTATTCCTTGACTAGTTTTAGGGAGATTTGGGGTGTAGAGGCTACGTTAAGCCCTGTCTTTATCTAGTCATAAGTTTCCAGCATGAGCTTTGCCTCATTGTACTGGATACTATCCACAGCTGGTTTATTTGTTTTAAAGTTTGGGTTGACTTTTCTAATTTATTTTGCTTTTTAGGTGCCGACCTTTACAGTTCCAGCCATCAAAATCTCACAAGAAGGTTTTGAAAAAAATGTTGAAATTTCTGGCTAAAGGGGAGATTTCCAAAGGAAATTGTGAGGGTAAGATGAGATGGGGGTCTAAGAGCTGTTTATTCAAAATTTTAAATTTATTGATTGATTTCATGTAGAGAGAGACAGAAAGAAAGAAACATCATTGATTTGTTCCACTCATTTGTGCCATCCACTGATTGATTCTTGTATGTGCCCTGACTGGGATTGAACCCACAACCTTGGGAATATCAGGACAATGTTCTAACCAACTGAGCTACCCAGCCAGGGCTTTGAAATTTGCATCTTTTCAAGTTTCTCATTTTCAGTCCTTTCTTAAGTGAGGTAGGGGAAAGGGGGTCTTTATTCCAGTCAGATACCACGGTTACTATGATGGTGATGATGATTAGGACTGCTGTTACTGTTACCGCTGGCCCCAAATCAGGGAGATGGGGAATGTATGCTAGGGTGAGTCTAGCTTGGGAAGAAGGTTTAGGATTATTTTTAAGATGTGATATCCTGGAGTTCATCGAGATTTCGTTTTCACGATGCCTCTGACAGCTCTCAGCCTACTTGGTCGCGCAGTAGCACTGTACGAAATAAACAGAAGGTGGTATTCTCTCCGGAGGCACAGGTGTGTGTATGCAGCTTACGGAAGACCTCATCGTCACTCTCACTGTTGAGTCAAGCCCAGATTTTTTTGTTTAAATAAGACTTGCTTAAGGGAATTACATCGCCTGAAACTCTGTTTCTTACTTGTCTGCTAAATTTTGAATTGTGAGTGAATTCCCTAAAAGACAATTAGTAACATTTAATTAACTGTGGGCACAGATATTTTGCATCTTCAGTTTTGTTACTAAAAAAAACCCCAAACTCCTAAGCAGTGCCTAAATACATACACAAGAACCGGGAATGCTGCCCGTTCTTTGAGCTCTTGCTCACCTCTGCCGTGGGAAATGCCTAGTCCCGGAGCCTCCCAGCCCAGCCTGAGCTTGTTAAAGTGCCCCCAGTGTGCTTTGAGTGCCGGGGATGTCAGGCCCAGTTTTAAGCTGTGTAGAGACTGCGGCCTGCAAGACAGGTGGTTTCTTTGTCCTCGTGCCCTGCCCTTAATGGAGCAGGATTCAGAACAGCTTGGAGCAGACTTGGCAGAGCTGGGATGACAGGCCAGAAGGCTCGGGGACGTGGAGGTTCAGGGGCAGGTGGCACATGGGGACATCAGAATTCTGGTGCATCTCTGGTTACATTGTCAGTACGTAATCGTAAAGGTTAAATAGCTTTTGTTCAGTAGTCAATATAAGATTTTCATTAGCTGGGAATCATGTTCTGATTTTCAAAAATTAATATTCAGATAAGTTTAGAGGATGCTGTCCATGTGTAATTGATGGTTGCCTGTCTTTTTATGTAGCTTTTAGGTTGGTTCTTCATCTGGCTTACATAGTCTTCTGAATTATCTATGTCTACAACTTAATAGGAGTGATGCGCCATTAGGATAAAGGCCCAGATAACTGTAACAAAGCGACAGCAAACTAAACAGATGTGACTGCAGTGACTTAACAGATGGTAGACATCTGTCCCTTCCACAGCCGCCCCAGTGTGCGTGTTCCAGGTTGGCCATTCTAGGACTCTCTTCTTGGGATTTCCAGGGTCACTCTGGTTTTTACTCTGCTAGCCAGTGGGGAGGGGAAAAGTTTGAAGTTCAGGGTCACGAATTTCTTTTAAAGCAAGTGAGGCAAAATTAGACTTATCAGTTTGGTTATATTGTATTGGTGGGAGCTTGGCCACAACTTGCAAAGGGACTGGCAGTCCCACGGCTCTGGTGCCACAGTCTTAACTGCAGCTCTGCGGCTTTGGAAGACACGAGAAGAGATTTGGTGGACGCACCGTAGTTTCTGTCACATTGGATAGAAGGGACACGTTTTCCTTTACGTATCTTAACTGTGTCTGGCTGATGGACTTTGATTTCTTCTGATTTGTAGGTGAGCCTATGGAGCCCCTGATGGAGGACACCATCGCTGGTGACGTTGCGTTAATAAATAAATTGGATGTACAGTGCGGCCTTACGAAGCTTGGTGATAACCTCAAAGAGAGGGAAGAGAAGAAAGGCAAAAGTGCGAAGAAAGCAGAATCTTGTGAATTAATTCAGTCACAAGATAAAAGAGCGAAGCTGGGCTCTGGGGAGCCGGCGCAGTCGGTTGCAGTGCCCACAGCTCCGAAGCCAGGTAATGCAAGTTTGGGACCGGCCCGTTCGGGTCCTGCGGGATGCTCTTGTCCACTTGGGGAGAGCGCCCGAGGGTGTGCTCGCCAGCCAGAAGCCGGACTTATGCACGGAATCTGTGACGTTTAAGATCTCTTTTGTACAACTTACTACCTGGATTTAAGTGGTCAAATCACACCTTTTTAAAAACTCCCATGTTTAATAAGCCTTGCAGAATAGCCTTACTACCACCAAATACGGACATTTAAAAAGTGCTCTATTTTTTCTATCTTAGGGCCCTAGAGGTGTGACATCCAAAGTTATATGAAAAAACTGCTGAACATTTTTATTTTTGGTATTAAGTAAGACAAAGTAAATTTTGGGTATCTTGTCCAAAATACAGACATTGTAAAATTTCTCATTTTATCATTACATTTCTTTAATCATAATAAATTTTTCTTTAAAAATATTCAGATTGTGATATTTAACTTCACCTTTAATTAGGTAAGGTTTTTTTCCTGTATTTTCACTGATAAAAGAATTAGATCTAAGAATTTTACTCATCATTAAATGGGTTTATTGTGTGTGTGCATGAGTGTGTGTGTACATGTAATTCTTTTAAGTTATCATAAAATAATTTCAATAGTTACGCTTGAGTTCCTGAATTTGTTCTTATATTTATTTATACATAATGATCCAAGGGAGTGACTTTTAATACCATCTTAGTTTTTATTTGTTACATGTATAAAAGTACAGAAAACTTTGTGCTTTTATTGAATGGTTTTTTTATGTAAAACTTTCATGGCATTTACATTGATGTTGGTCTGAGATTTCATCCTAATAGCAGGCATAGTACAAAGAAATATTTTGAATGATTTACATGATGTTTTTCAACTTTTACTCTCTTGAGTGATAGCGTTAGTTCTTTTATTTTAAATATTTTATTAATATATTAAAATATTAAATATTAAAAATTACCATGTATCAGATCTAAAAGTCTATTTTGGAGAATTCCCACATGGACTGAGTGAATTCCCGCGTACCCTCCCCTCATTTGAAATAATCATTAACTCACCATGGCCGCCCTCATTTCATCTATGCTCATGGCTGGTTCCTCTTCCAGTTTTATAGGGAAGCAAATTCCAGGCAGTTTATCTTCTTATCCTCCAGAGTTCGTCTCTACCAGATGAGAACTTTAAAAAACATTCACCAGACTGTTACACCGAAATAAAGTGCCCCCCTGCTGCTGACTGTTCAGTGTTTAGATTTCCCACTTGGAAGCATTGGTGTGCTTCAGCCCCACTTTCTAGTTCGCAGTTGTTTGTTATGGAAACTGGGCTCTTCGTTTTGGACGGTCGGTGCTGCTGCCCCCTGTCCTTGCCCAGGACCGTCTGCAGTGCAGTTGAACCTGCTCGCTGCCACCTGGAAACCGCCAGTGGGTCTAGGCCCTGGATGAGATGCAGGATTGAATTGTTTTTTGTTTTTTTTTCTTTTTCCTTTTTTTTTTTTTTTTTTTTGCTTTTTGGAGGGGGTGTATCTTAATCAGGTTTAGGTTCAATTTATTTATTTGAGGATGGGTTAGGCTACTTCATGGGTGGTGGGTGTTTTTTTAGGAGATATGTTTTAAATGTATATATTCATTCATACATAACTGGAATTATTTTTACCATTGTGTAATGACAAATTTCCCTAACGTTTCTAAAGCATTTTTAGAAATGACTCTGATATTCTGTTGGTTATTTTTAAAATTGTGTAGTTACTCTATAATTGGGCATTTAGATTACTTTGGGGCTTTCATTTGTGTTATTTGCCTGTATCTCTTAGGATTTTCTTAGAATAGCTTCCTTGAGGATGACTTAATAGATTATAAAGGGTACTTGCTAAAATATTTGGTGTATAAAATTTTAAGATACATATTGATTCCAGAGAGAAACATAAATGTGAGAGAAACATCGATTGATTGTCTCTTGTACATGCCCCACCTGGGGACTGAACCTGTAACCCAGGCATGTGCCCTGACAGGGCATTGAACCCACAATCCTTGGTGCGCAGGACGGCACTCTGACCTACTGAGCCACACTGGCTGGCTAGAATTTTTGTATTTTAACGAGGCTGGTTAAAACAGAACTTGTGATTAATCAGAGCTGACTAATATGTGACTCCTCAGTCAGATGGAGAGACACCCAAGGGTGGTCTTTCACTGGCAGACCTGCCCCAGGGTGTTCTGGGATCGGCACTTGTTGACACCCAGTTGCTGAGCATGTCACTGTCACCAGTGCTTCCGGAACCATGGCCGCAGTCAGCAGTGTCCTGAGTGAAGGTGTTTGACTATGTTCTTTCTGCTTACAAAGGCGCAGAGAACAGGCTAATATTTTTTAAAAGTGACAGATTTAAATACTCAGAGCTGCCCGAAAAGTTCTGTGCCTGTTTACTTTCTTTGGCAGTTGCCGCTTCTAAGGTAGAATTTTAAGGTCAACTAGAGCTCTATACCAGGGTCCTCGCAGGGGTGTCCAGCCTTTGGCGTCTCTGGGCCACACTGGAAGAAGAAGAGTTGTCTTGGGCCACACATTAAATACATTGTGACACGTACTCACAAAGATATCGCATAAGGTTTTAGGTAACTTTACGATTTTGTGTCGGGCAGCATTCACAGTCGTCCTGGGCTGCGTGCGGCCCGTGGGCTGTGGGTTGGACGCCCCTGCAGCATCCACCCCAAAGCTGACCTAACCGTTGCAACTCTGTGGACTTAGTAGAATCTTTGAGACTTTTGAAAAACGATTTCCAGAGCCAAATGTGATAGATCTAATGTTTTGAAATTCTTTTTAGGTAAGGGGGCAGATTTGAGTAAGCCCCCATGTCGGAAAGCAAAGGAAATCCGGAAAGAAAGGAAGAGGTTGAAACTCATGCAGCAGAACACAGCTGGCGAGCGTGAGGGTTTGCAGGCTCAGCGGGAACCGCCGTCCTTATTCTCACCAGAGGCTAAATCCAACCAGCCCAAAGCACTCGAAGATTTAATTTTTGAATCTTTACCAGAGAATGCATCACATAAATTAGAGGTACTTTGAAGAATATATAATTTTTTGGTTTGTTTTATTGTTTGTTTTTTTGTCGAGTACCTTGTGTATTTGCATATGAGGTTATATTAATCCATTGATTAGTTGCTATTTGATCAGTGGGAAATTAAAGTTAATTGGGATGGAGTAACATTTGTATTTACTAAGTCAACTACTGCTTGAGAGAAACTTCCTTTTAAGATGAAAAAAACAGGCAGTTTGACTAAAGTTGCAAAAGCAACTCCAGTACTAGCATGTTATGATATGTAAAGTACTGTTGCTTTTCATTTCCCTTGATTGAAATTTAGTAAAGTAAACAAGAAAAAGTACCATACATTTTACTTTTGGCAGTTTTGGTTTATATAGTGAAAGAGAACACTAGGCAGATCACTGTTTTAGCTCTTCTAATATTCTGATCTCGATCAGAGTAGTAGATAACATTAATATGTGAGCCAGCAGCCTGCAATTAACTAAACAGTGCCAAACTGTACCACTTTCATAAACTCCTCATCAGTTTCCTCCAAACCAGTTTAGCTTATTGTGAATACTTTTACAGTGTTCCTGTTGTTTTCCCAAATTGATTTATATTCCAGATTAAGTCTAGATTTTTCAGTATTCATTTGTATTTTTTAAAAAACATTAGCCATAATGATACTATCATATTCTCATACATGATTAGTAACTGGTCAGCCTTTGAATTTGTAGCTCATCTAAGAACATCAGTTATCACTAAAGATTTGATATTAAAAGTTAACTTGGACACAGTCTAAACCTTAGGACAATATGTATCATCAGACATAAGTGTTACCAGCTTTGGCTAGGATAATTCCTTGGCTACTCTTTGTTATTGACTTCGTCCTTCCCAAATTGTAAAGGGCATCAGCATGTGATTTAAAACACTTTAGGAGGAGTCCTTTGTCTTTTGGTCGTAAGTAAGTAGTGTGTTCAGGGCGCCCCGCACACCCAACACCCCACGTCTGCAGCCGGCGGCTCTGACGCTTTTGTTGTAGTGACACCTGGGCAGGTCCAGGCTTGTTGTCCACTGGGGGTCAGTCTTTCCTCACAGAAGTTTCTTCTCAAGGCGCCTGGGGAAAGTTTTCCAATAGGGCCTTTTATTAGATTGCCGTTGATTTTCTGTTTTACTGCCCTGTTGTGCTAACACATTTTAACTGGTTAGTAAATAATTCATGTTAAATGTTAGCCATTACTGTTTGCGGTCACTGTTTTCATCTCATCTTCATTTTACACGTGGACAAACCAAGGCGCAGAGACGGTAATTTATATTCTTGACCAAGATGGTGACATTAAGATTTGGGGAAAGGAAAGGTGACGTCAGAGTCGTCATTCTTAACTATGCTATGACATAGGAACACTTTGTCTTTTAGACTTAATAAAAAAAAAGGTGGTTTCCTGTTAGCAAGAACTCATGAAAGAGTGTCCAGAAAAGTACAGTCACATTTTTAGTCTTTTTGACCGATTCACTGAAGGTGAGTTGCTGAGATTAGAGAGTACTTATTTGTGTTTGCATTGCAGTACCAGAAGTATTCTGTCATTTTACAGTAGAGGTGGGCTCGCATAATTTGGTTGTGACTCTAACTGGTCTTGGAATTTAGACAGCACCCTCTGCCTTCTTAATGAGTCTGTATGTTGGAGAAATAACTTTTCAGATTTATTTACTATGTGTTGATTTTTGATGTTAAAATATTATATGTTTATGCTTTAATGTTTGTATTGAAACATTTGGTTCTTTTTGGATGGGAGTAACCTAATGCATAGTCATGAGATAAACAAATGAATTAATGAACATTGTTTTCTAACTCCTTCTGAAGGTGAGGCTGGTGAGATCATCTCCACCAAGTTCTCAGTTCAAAGCTACAATGCTGGAGTCGTACCAGGTCTATAAACGTTACCAGATGGTTATTCACAACCACCCACCTGATAAACCAACTATAAGCCAGGTCAGCAGGCCAAGTGTAATTTTTCTGTGCAACGGAACTTTCCCTTCCACTTGGTATCACTGTATGAATTCTGGGTTTACTTGTGGTACATTTATTTATATTCAGTTTGCAGCATATCTGCCAAGAGATAGGACTGGATTTATGGACATTCTGAAAGTGCAAGTTTTACCTAGTGCCATGATTAAATGCCAATCATGTGTAATTTCAGAGTGGGGAAGTAACACATCAAATCAGTTATCTTTATTTATAGTCAGTATGTTTAGATGTCTTTATCGAAAAGGAATAGAGCCCTGAGTACAAGTATTAATGAGAAAAATGCAAAAGGCTTTATATTTTTATAGCAGGCATATTTTGCACAACATGGTTAATGCGCTTTATCCCTGTTTTAGTCCCATGTAGAAAGCGTTCATAACCGCCAGTTTACTCTGTTGATGTGTTGCCCGTTTTCAACTGAGTAGAACTGGAAAAATAAGATAGAAATTTTAACAGAAGTCCTCATTTGCTTGTAATTTTATAAATCAAATTACCCAGGAGAAATCTGGAAGGATAAAATAGCCGGATTCTCTTACTATGTCGTGGTGACAAAAGTAGTGGCCATCACCCTTAGTGATAGTGTTGACTCAAGGTTGTGCAGAAAACTGCCATAGGTGGGTAGAGAAAAAAACAAAATGAGAGAAAGATACATTGTCTTGGCCTCAAGTATTAGTATAAAGTTAATGGCACAGGCTCGATGTCGGTCAGCTCGCCCCAGGGTCAGTTCCGTCCATGGAAGCTTCCAGCGCTGAGCTTTGGAAGTGGATTTGTGGAGATCTTACTCTAGCCTCACCTTCAGAAGCATGTCACCAGGTAGAGATGTTTCAACAGCATTTGCTTCTATTTTCCTTGCTCTGAAGGTGAGGTTAGTACCTGTCTCCTTTGAGGACCCAGAGTTCAAGTCGTCCTTCAGCCAGTCACTTTCTTTATATGTCAAGTATCAAATGGCCATACACCAGGATTCGCCTGATGAATGTGGGAAGACTGAGGTACCTTTCGTTAAACGTTTTTTCCTCTGTTGATGAGGTTGTCTGTGAAGAACATAATGTAACGTTCCTATGCCAATTTTCTAATCTGTTAAGTGGGGCATATATCACTCTCTGCTCTCAGTGTGTGTTGCTGATATTTATGAAAGGAGTCATACAGGTAAGCATTTTAAGTCCCCAGAAAAAGGAATGTTTTTGCTCAGTGTTCTGTCCAGGAGCTTGAGTGCTGTGTCTTTATCTGTTGTCACCGGGCTGAGTCAGCAGACGTCACTGGGTGCTCATTCTGTGCACTGGCCTCTGTGCACTGGTCAAGGGACGAGTCTGTCCTCAAGGAAGCAGTAATCAGATGGGAAGGACACACTGGCAAGCAGACATCCTGAGAAGCAAGCAAGAAAGCATAACTGTTGAGATTAGATAGAGCATTATTATTTTTTAATTTAAGTGTTATTTTTTAATTACAGTTTGTATTCAGTATTTAGTATTAGTTTCAGATGTATATAGCGCATCATTTAACAAGCAGTTAATAAGGGCTTCTTTTTTAGGCTAGAGATATTCAGAAGAATGAGATCGTGTAGTTGCCACAGAGGAACAGTGATGTATTAGGAGAAAGATACCAACAGGTGCAGAAGAATTAATGTTTTGATTTTTTCTTTTTTTAATGACAGGAAGTGTTAACTTTAAAGTGATGATTAATAAGGCAGGAGTTAATGCCTGTCCTGAGAGAGGGCTGACTTCTGGTCTCCCAGAGCCTTGCTAGTTCAAGTGTGGGGTGCAGACCAACAGCCTGCGCTGTGCAGATTCCCAGGCCCCCCACCTCCTGAATTTGCATTTTGAACCCCATCTCCAGGTGATGCATGTGCACCTCCTGATTTGGGAAGCGCTTCCATAAGTTCCCTGCTAGGACAGGCAGCTGTGGGTGAGAGCATTCGTGGAGAGCAGGGATTCTGCCAGGTGCGAGAAGCTCCCTTTCATATTCTCAGGGGGGCTGATTCCTCTCTGAACATTACTCCTTCCTACCGCCCTGGGGATTCTGGCTGTGTGCCTGCTTGCTCACTGGGTGTGATAGTTGGGCCAAAACAGGCCGACATGATCCGATGTGTTTACTGGGTAAAGGTTGCTCGTCCAGGACTGTGCCCCTTAGGCTTCAGGCCTCCGTGGAGTCCGTCCCTGCAGACTTAGCTCATTGCTGGGGATGTTCACAGTGTGGTCAGGGAGAAAGACCGGTGAGCGGGTTCGGTGCTGATCCAGCAGCTGTTGAGTTAGTGCGGGGAGCAGGATTTCTGAAGGACTCCATCCGAGTAAGCTCTGACAAGATTGTCTGTCAGGCCAAAACAGAATTAGAGCGTTCTCAGGAACAGGACTATGTAGAAGAGGTGTAAGGCGCCTCTTGTGGAATGTCTTGAGAAATTGATCTGGAAGCTGCAAGCTCACAGTTAAAATGATCAGTCCACAAAAAGTAGGAAGGATAAAGGAATATATTAAAATGACATCTGGGCAATTCTATAAGACAAATGGCCTCATTTCTTTAAATACATAAGAAGTAAAACAAACACACCCTATTTAGAAAAAGAGAGGGAAATCTGCTCTAGATTAAAAGTTAAAAAATTTTAAAAATGTGTAACTATAATATCATAACCACACTCAACACAATTAATAATAATCATATCATTTAAATATTCAGTACATGTTTGATTTTCTTAAAAATATCTTTTTACTGTGAATTTGTTTGAATCTGGACCGTGTAAGATCTGTACACCACATTCGGTTGATATTCTCTTTCTTTTAAAAAGATTTTTTAAATTTATCTTTAGAGAAAGGGGAAGGGAGGGAGAAAGAGAGGAACATCAGTGTGTGGTTGCCTCTTGTGCACCTCCGACTGGGGACCTAGCCTGCAGCCCAGGCATACACCCTGACTGGGACTCGAACTAGCGACCCTTCGGTTGGTAGACTGGTGCTCAATCCACTGAGCCACACTGGCCAGGGCAAAGTTGATATTCTTGTAAACGTCTTTTAATTTAGAATGGATTTTTCTCATGCTTTCGATAGCATTTTTAAAAGAAACTGCACAATCTATCTTGGAATTAGTTTTGTGTCTTTTGATTTACTTTGAAAATACTATGTAAGTGAGTGTATGTGTGGTAGCTGTGTGACGGATGTTTCTCTCGTTTTCCGCTTTTATGAGTACGTGTATGTGTACATGTTTCCGTGTCTCGGACACAGGGTTTGTAGTGCATACCACTGTCCCCTCCCCCCCACACACGTGCACACGTTCCCCTCTTTCTGACACAGGCAGTGTGTCAGCTTGGTCACGTCTTGGGGGCCCCCGCAGAACAACGCGGGTGGAGAGCGTGGTCCTTCCGTTTCCTGGCTCACGGAGCTCCTTCGTGGAGGTGCTGTGGTTCTCCAGTCGACCTTCGTCGGTGTCTGTCTCTTTCCACCCTTCCCCCCGTGTCGCAGTGTAGTGGGCAACACCCTTGTGCGGAGACTGCCTCGTACTTTTCTCCGTGTGTGATTGTCACGGGATTTCGGATTGCTGGGTCAGAGGTAAATTTCTCTCCAGGGGGTTTCTGACCGCAGAGTTGTCCCTGTTCCTCATGGCTGCCGTGCCATCGCCTGGCCTGCCCGAGAGCTCTGGGGGAGCAGGGTCCTGACCTTGACCGCACATTTTAAACGGGTGGAGAGGTCCCACCATACTGTCTGGTGTTCCAGCCTCCTGCCTGTGGCCCAGGGGTGCTCTCGAGGAGGGTCAGGGTTGTGTGGGAGGCTTCTGTTGGGGGAGGCGGGGCTGGAGGCGGAGCCCAGGTGAGGGCAGTGGTGGGAGGAGGAAGAAGCAGATACCGGGCAGGTAGACTTGACCAGGATTTGGTGTTCGACCGAGGGACATTTGGGGAGTCGGAAAGGGAGGAGTGTGAAGGGCCCAGGTGAGTGTTTCGAATTTGTGGCTTGGGCGACCAGGTAGATTGTGGTGACGTTATCTGAGGTAAGAAGTCCAAGAGGAGGAAGGAAGTGCGCACTTAGGTCCTGACAGTGCGTTCTGTGTCGAGCAGGCTGAGTGTGAGAGCTCCTGGGAAGGCCGGGTGTGTGCCGACCCGAACCTGGAACGCGGCCGGAACGCGGCGTGGGGCAGCTGGCACCCGGAGAAGGCTCGGGCGCCTTCTGTCCGAGGTCCAGGAGGCTTGGAGAGGCTTTGTCTTCTGTCCTTGTGCCGGGTTACATTTTCGCAATATTATGTTATAATACAACTCTGATGTGTAATTTAAATGATGCGTGTTACAGGGTAGTAACCTACTCTAAAAGTGGTACATGTTTTCTTTTTTTTTTTTAAGAAAGATGAAGATAGCACTAAATGAAAAGCCTGTGCTAGTCAATTTTATTGTGAGCCGTTCAGATTTTCATTTCCCTTTGAATGCAGTTACTATACATTTTAATTTACATTTACTCCCACCAGTAGTACTGAACTTGGGTATGTGATTTGACCTTGTTTTTAAATAGAAATATATAATGGATTTCTTTATTGTGGCCAAATAATTTTACCACAGTGATCTGTTTTATATGGTCAGACGGCATACAAAAAATGTGTACTGACGAAAGCGTTTTTGACAGTGGACTCCTTTGATTTCACACAAGTTAGTGTATTTGGCTTCGATACATCCTTTGACTTCTAGCTCAGTGGTGCATTTTACGTACTTGACAGCGAACTGCATTGACATGGAGTTTTCAAAGACGTTTGAAGTCTGTTGTTTTTCATATGGGCTTATTTGTCATCTCACTGAATGTAGTTTCAAAGAAGTAGCACGAAATAACGCTTTGCAAGTCAAGACTCTTCACTGTTTTTTCTTTATTATGGCTTCATTCAGATAGAAGTCACGTACTACACAGTTCACCCATTCGAACTGTACCGTACTGAATACGGTGTATTCACAGGGTTGTTCGCCTGTATCGGGGGATTACTGTATGATATATAATAATACATGTTACTTTATATTAGAATATTACAAATGTCATTGTAACCGCAGAATGTTTTCACCCCCACCCCCACCAGCAGTCTCTCCTCACTTCCCCAGCCGCCCCAGCTCTGGGCCACCGCTGCCCCACTTCCTGCCCCTGGGTTTACCTGATCTGGACACTTTATGCAAACAGAACCGTAGAGTGTGTGGTCTGTCGTTGACTGGCGTCTTTCACGCAGCCTTGACGTTTCCAGGGTTCACCCGTGGGGTAGTGTGTGAGTACGTCATTCTTTCCACGCTGAGTCGTATTTCATTGTACAAATAGACGACACACTGCATTTTGTTTCTCCACTTACCTGTTCGTGGACATCTGGGTGTTCGTTCTTTGGCTTTTATGGAAAATTCTGCCGTGTGCATTCGTGTGCAAGTTTTTATGTGGACGTAAGTTTTCGTTCCTCTTGGGCGCAGACCTCGCGGTGGCATTGCCGGGCCGCGTGCTGACTGCGTTGACCTGTTGAGGAGCTGCCAGACGGTTCTCACCAGAAATACTCCAGTTCCCCTCTCCCCACGTCCGCACAAACGCTTGTCTTTTTTCCATTTTTCAGTTTTAATTTTAGCCATCCTGGTGGGTGTGATCTCTTTCTGCTTTCGATTTGTATGCTGTTGATCGTCTTTTCATGTGCTTTCTGGCCATTTGTATCACTTCTTTGGAGATGTGTCTCTTCCGGTCCTTTGTCCATTTTTAAACGGGTTATTTGTTTTTATATTATTGAGCTGTAGGAGCTCTTTACATATATTCTACATACAAGTCCCTTATCATACATGATTGCAAATATTTTTTCATTCTGTAGGTTATTTTTATCTCTAGTAGTGTTTTTTTGTTTTACTTATTTTTCTGTTGATTTTAGAGAAGGGGGAAGGGAAGGAGGGAGGGAGAGGGAGAGAGGCATCCGTCTTACTGATGCATTCGTTGGTTGGTTCTTATATGTGCACTGACTGGGGATTGAACCAGCAACCTTGGCATATTGGGATGATGCTTTAACCAACTGAGCTACC